TAATAATACCTAGAGCTACCACTAAAGCTATACAAAGAGATATATTCAAAAACAATATAAGTAAATCAAAATGGAATTCTAAAAATGTTCATGCAACTCATGGGAAGGCAGGCAAAAGAACAGAGAAATGGAGACCAGAGAGAAGAACAGTAGACTAAAAAATAAAATGTCAGGCTTAAGCCCTAACTTATCAACAATTACATTAAATGTAAATGATCTAACTATACCAATTAAGAGACAGATGAGCAGAGTGGATTAAAAACATGATGCAGCTATATGCTGTCCACAAGAAATTTATATATAGTGATATGTATATATATGTGTATATATACTGACAGTAAAAGGATGGAAAAAAACATGTTATGCAAAACATTAGTTTTAAAAAAAAGCAGGAGTGACTACATTAATATCATATCAGAGCAAAGAAACTTACTAGACATAAAAAGGAATATTACACAGTGATAAAAGGGTCAGGTTACCAGGAAGACAAAGTAAGCATGAGTGCATGTGCACCAAACAATAGAGCTGCAAAATATGTGAAGCAAAAATTGATGGACAAAAGGAGAAACTACATAATTACAGTTGGACATGTCAACATTTCTTTTTCAATAATTGATTAACTAGACATGAAATGATCAACTCCTTGAAATGCACAAATGATCATAACTCACTCAATATGAAATAATTTGAATATAACAATAAAATAAACTGAATTCATAATTCAAAATTTCATGTAAAGAATTATCTAGGCCCACAGGGTTCCACTGAAGAAGTCTACCAAACATTTAAGGAATTAACACCAATTCTACATAATCTTTCCAGAAAAATAGAAGAGGAGATAACACTTCCAAATTCATTTTATGATGGTAATCATATCATGATACTAAAACCAAAAAACAGTAAATAGAAAATGAAAGAAAACTAGAGGCTAATATACTTCATAAATACAGATACAAAAATCTGTAACAAAATATGAGCAAATACAACTTAGAAACATAGAAAGAATTATACAGTAAGACCAAGTGGAGCTCATTCCAAGGATGCCAGGTTGGCTCAATATTTGATAATCAACCACATTAATAGACTAATGAAGAAAATTATACAGTCATTTCAATTAATATAGAAAAAGCATTTGGCAATATCCAGCACCCATTCATGATATTAATAAAAACTCTAACAAAAACAGGACTAGAGGGGAACTTCCTCAGCTTGATAAAGAGCATCTATGCAAATGTACAGCTAATATTGTACTTAATAGTGAAAGACTGAAGGCCTTCCCACCAAAGATTGGTAACAAGATACGGTTATTTGCTCTAACAACTCATATCCAACATAATATTGGAAATTCTAGCCAGTGAAATAAAACAAGGAAAAGAAATAAAAGGCATACAGATTGGGAAGGAAGGTATAAAACTGGTCCTATTTGCAGATGGCATAATTATTTATATAGAAAACCTCAAGGAATCTACAAAAAAATGCCTAGAACTAGTGAGTTAGGTAAATATGCATGATAAAAGACAAACATTCAAAATTCAATTGTATTTCTATATAGTAGCAATGAATGCATGGACACCAAAATTGAAAATAAATATTTATAATTGGTTAAAAAAAGAAATACTTAGGTATGATTCTAACAAATCATATACAGTATGAGAACCTATAAAATTACAAAATGCTGATGGAAGAAATCAAAAACAATCTAAATAAATAGAGACACTGTACTTGTGGATTGAAAGATCCAACATAGTGAAGATGTCCCCAAATTGATACACAGATTTAATGCAATACCTATAAAAACCCCAGAAAGATACTTTGTACATATAGACTATTCTAAAATTTATATGGCAAAGTAGATTAGCAAACACAATTTTGAAAAAGAAGAATAAAGTGGGAGGATAAGTCTACCTATCTGCCTTTAAGACTTACTGTATAGCTACAGTAATCAAGACCATGTGGTATAAATATTAATAGATCAATGGAACAGAATCGAGAACCCAAAAATAGACCTACATAAGTAGCCCTAACAGATTTTTTACAAAATCAACAAAGGGTAGCCTTCTTTTGATGCTTAAATAATTGTACATCCATATGCAAAAAGGAAAAAAAAGGACCTCAACCTAAACTTCACATCATATATGAAAATTAACTCAAAATGAATCATGGGCTTAAATGTAAAATATGAAACTTAAAAACTTTTTGAAAAAAAAAAAAACTTAGGAAAAAACCTTCAATCTAGAGCTAGTTTAAGAGTTCTTAGACTCAACTGGACTTCATCAAAATTAAAACCTTTTTCTCTGTGAAAGATCCTGTTAAGAAGATGCAAAGACACACTATAGAGTAGGAGAAAATATTTGCAAACCACATCTCTGACAAAGAATTAGTATCTAGAATATATATAAAGAGTTCTCAGAATTCAATAATTAAAAATCAAACAATCCAATAAGAAAATAGACAAAAGACATGAAGAGACATTTCACTGAAGAGGATATACGGACATGCAAAGAAGCACATGAAAAGATGTTCAACATCATTAGCTAATAGAGAAATGCAAATTAAACCCACAATAAGGTATCACTACACACTTGTCAGCACAGCCAAATTAAAAAGTAGTGACAATGACAAATGTTGAAGAGGCAAAGAAACTGGATTACTCACACATTGCCGATGGGAATGTAAAATGGTATAGACAGTCTAGAAGAGTTTGGCAGTCCCTTATGAAATGTAATATGCCACTACAATATGATCTGCCATGTCTTATCCCAGAGAAGTGACATGTCAGACTAAAACCTGTACATGAATGTTCACAGAAGCTTTACTCATAACCACAAAAGGCTAGAAAAATCTCAGATGCCCTTCAATGGGTGAATGGCTCAACTGCAGGACACCCACAGTGTGAACTACTACTCAGGAATAAAAAGGAAAAACTCCTGAAACACGCATCAACCTGGATGAATTTCCAGAGAATCATGTTCATTGAAAAACCTATCTCAAAAGGCTACAAATGCATGATTCCATTCATATAACATTCTCAAACGACAAAGTTACAGAAACCGAGCACAGAGTGGTTGGCGGGGTTAAAGGAGGGTGTGGTGGCAGGAGGTGGGTGTGACAATAAAAGCGCCATGGGAGGGTCCTCGTGGTAACGGAGACGTTCTGTATCTTGACTGTGATACCGTACTATTGTGTGTAAGATGTTATCTCTGGGAAAAGGGTACATTTCATACATACAATTGCATATGAATCTGCAATGACTTCAAAATAAAAAGTTTAACCTAATTTTAAAATGTATGTAATGTATGACTCTACTTACATGAAGTTCAAAGACAAACTCATCTATAGATGATAGAAATGCAATCGGTGATTACCTTGGGAGGGAGGGATTGCCCGGGGCAGGATGGGGGATAATGGCAATGTTCCCTGTTTTGCTTTGGGTGGTGATCACAGGTATATACGTGTATAAAAATTCATTACGTTATCTGTTTATGATCTGTATGCTTTATTTTCTATGAGTTAAATCTCACAAATATATATGAATCTGAGAAGCATTCTATAAGTTCCATGAAATTATTTTTGTCTCTACCATTAGGTCTCAAAAAATGTACAGCTTAAAGGATCTTTCCTTCTAGCGGTCTAAGAGGGTCTAATACAGTATCCCCAACCTTTTTTGCACCAGGGACCACTTTCATGGAAGGTATCTATCACAAACAGGGGTTGGGGTGGGGGATGGTTTTGGGATGATTCAAGCACATTACATTTGTTGTGTACTTTATTTCTATCATTATTACATTGTAGTATATAGTGAGATAACTATACAACTCACCATAGGTTGGGGACCCCTGGTCTAATATCTTTTAGATTAACACCTGCTATAAGATGGTGTTCAAGATTCTGCTAAAATACTGGCAACCTCCCTACCTCCATTAGGGCTAAAAAGAATCTGTGGACTTAAAAGATGCATAAATAGTAACATGCAGAATGAAAAACATCTTGATATTTGAGAAAAAAAATCTAGATAGTGATCACGATAGACCAAACATCTGAGTACCTTTCACTCAGTCGTAGGTTCTGCTAATCTTACCGGCATCTCTAAGTCATTCAGCCAGTGTCCCTCGTGTAGCAGAGAAGGTGCGGCCCTGCGGCTGGCCAGGCGGCACCCTAGGCCTGATGCGGTGCTGCGGGGGTGGATTAGAACCAACCTTCAATTTCCTCTCTCTCCACGGGTGCCCCTGGGACTTAGGGGGGTGTGTGCATCTCAGGGAGCGAGCTTCCCACCTGACTTAGAGACTTGGCACAAATGCCCTTTCACACCAGTCTTCTGTTCAGGATTTCAGCAAACAGATGGAAGAGAAAACCTGTTCTTTATGGTTTGTTCAACAAAGTCACCGTCCCAGGAGGAAAGCCAGAAAGAGTCAACACAAGAGAGATGATATTGGCCATCAGGAAAAACCATCAACTGGCAGCAGTGGGGGCTGGCAGAGCCCTGCAGTGGGAGCCCCAGGAAGGCTGTGGCTGCAGGCTTTCCCAGGGCCAGGTGGACCCGGGTGCTGGGGGCCGAGGGGCGGCCACCACTGGGGAGCCTTCTCTGCATGGGCAGGATCTTTGGTTTGCTCATAATATGGTACTTGAACCTAAGCGTTTTGTTTTCTGGAATGCATCTGGACAATGTTAACTCTGCTTTTCTGAGGCCAGGGTGAAACAGCTCTTCCCTTTGCTATGGTTCTACATTCCTCAGGGAACGAGATGCCGTATAGTCTAACCAGATGAGCTACAACGCCACTGTGAACAGTCGGTCGACACTCTGGTCATCCACCAGTGTCTGCTGTTTGGTTTCTGTGCCAATCTGCAAGAGTCGTGGCAACTCCCATTTCTGGGCGTGTGCAGAAGATTCCCAGTCTAGAACGTTCTGCCCTCTCCCACCCATGAGGCTTCAGTCTCGCCCTCAGCCATCTCTGTTTCCGATTTAATAGTGACCAATTTAAATAAAAAGCCTAACACAAAAATCAAGCAAATATGTTTAATTTTTTAAAATAACTGATGGCAAAATAAAATATTTACATCACATCATACTGTGTAAACATGTAAGGTCTCTGTACAAAGAAATATACATGCAAAATAATGTAAAAATTTAACTGAAATAATAAAAGAAACAATACACAAATAAAAGTTATGAGGTTACGATACACATCCAGTTTTGAATCCAATTTCTTTTAAAAAGTTTCTGTACAATTTTACAAGAAGAAACAAACAAAAACCCAACAAAAGAATAAATAAAATACATTGGAAGCTGCAAAGCTTAACTACGCCAGTTTATGGCTCAAGACCCAGGTGTCTGGCTGGCTTGGGAAGCAGGCTGGTCTCTTTTTTAGTGTACTTCACATAACAAAGATAAAAAGACATCCAGAAAACTTCAAGCGTGCCCAGAAACCTCGCCTCTCATGTTGAAGGGACTCCCCACGCCAGCGTGAATTCTGCCACAGTGACTCGGGCATTGGGTACTGGCCTCAGGGCGGCCAGTGCTTAATTGGCTTTTATTTCTTACCAAAAGCTCAAAATCCAGCCAATTTTTTTGTACAGAAAGTTGAACGTCAAAAAGTCTAAAAAGTAGTAAATGTCCAGACTGATTTTGGGAAAAAAAATAATACTTTGGCATTCTGAATAATAGCATAATAAATTTTAAAACATTACCCTATTATCCAGTTTTATATTCAGAGTATGAAATAACTCTTTACAGTCCTTAAAACCGACAAATTTCACGAAGAGTTCGGTCTCCTTGAACAGATGGCACAGGGCTACGACCCACCCTCCCGCCCCCGACCCCAACACACACACACACACAACCATAAAGCTCACTGTACGAAGTATGTGCTTTTTCTATGTATTTATTACAGGTACAACAGAGGTCTTCATAAATAGTTGCATAAAATGTTAAAGCCACAACATTGCACATGATATGAAATAAAACCAAAAAAACCCCAATGAGTGCATTTACAGTATTTTCATCTGACTGTATACTGCTCAACAATCTGACTGACAGACGGGGCGGGGGTTGGGGGAGGGACTGCGGGGCAGGACCTGACCTGAAGTCTGCATTTGATGGACAGACCCTCAGACCCCCAGAGGAAGCCCCCGGCGGGCGGGGGAGGGAGGGAGGTGGGAAGTGACAGACCGAAGGCAGGAACAGTCTTATATACAAGTAAGGCCTACATTTCATCAGAGCAAAACAATTCATTCTATTTTATGCAAAAGTCTGAGGTTGAATGCATGTTTCAGAAGCCGAGTCTGGCTGGCGTCCGGGCGAGACGCACACAGACGAGGCGGCTGGAAAAGCTCGGAGCCGGGTGGCCGCCGGGCCCTAGCCGAGGCCGTGGCCGCCACCTGGGTGCGTCTTCCCCAGCGATGCACAGTATCTCTGTTTTGTTCGTGAACACCAGTGGTTGAACATAGGCATTTTGTTTCCTTGAATAAATCTTGAAAATGTTAAATTTGCAAAATTCTATTCATGTTTGTTTAAAAAAGTATCTTTTTTATTTTTATTTTTTTGCAGAAACCTGAATAAAATACTGTGATACAGCAACGCGATCTCTGCCTCCGGCAGAGTGTAACGAAGGTCCTCCACCCCAGCGCAGCTCGCAGCTCTGAGTCCAAGCACCGCTGAGCACAGCTCACTTGGAATGCAATTTCACACGACGAACAGACCGGCAGCTGGTCAGTTATGTTTGTTTGTTTTCTCTTCGAAATTCAAATCAACAGCTGATTGGCAGGTGAAAGAGAATGAGAAAGAACTTCAGGACAGGTCAAACTCGAGGCAGAAGCCTGCTCTGCAGGAAGTTTTTAATGCTACGGATAGGTCGAACATCATTCTGGTGTTTGCGCCGCTCAATGAAGGAAGTCAGTCTGGACGTATCGAGCACGTCTGCACTTTTGCCGGTGCCAGTGCCCACCTGCAGCCACTGCTCCTGGAGCGCCAGCGCAGCCGAGGGGCGCTTGGCAGGGTCCTCCTGCAGGAGGAAACACACGAACTCCTTGGCCTTCTGGCTCACTCCTTTAAAGTAGTCATCTGGGAAACTAAAGTCTAATCGGCAAATGTTCAGGCAGGTCTCTTCCACGCTGTCGTCCAGGAAGGGGGACACGCCGCTCAGAAGCACGTATGTGAGCACTCCAACACTCCAGGTATCCGAGGTCAGGGAGACAGGGTTCCCAAGGATGATTTCGGGGGCCGCAAATTCGGGGTTCCCCAGTAGCTGGTGGATGTAGTAGGTCGTGTTGAGTTGGACAGCATCTCCAAAGTCAGCCAGTTTAATGGTCGGCTTGGCTAAACTCTGATCCACCAGGATGTTCTCAGGCTAGAACACAGGACAAGACAACTGTCATTTCCAAACCACCCCAGTCTTAAGCTACTCGGGATGGTCCTGGGGTACCTATGGGGAGGTAGAAAGAACGTCAACTAGAACAAACTGTGCACGTGCAACGCGGGATGAGCGTGCAACGCGGGATGAGCGTGCAACGCGGGATGAGCGTGCAACGCGGGATGAGCCCACACCGCAGGCCCGGGGAGAGGAGGAGGAAGGTGCAACGGGTACAGCTCTCGCTGGAAGTCTCACTGCCGAGCTGCCTAAGTAAACAAGGCCGCTCTGTGGAGCCGGGTGTTCATTCTTCCTCCCAGACCCAAGAGGAAAACTCTCTTCCTCATCTAAGTTACCACAGAAGCAGCCATACCCATTGAACACAACAGAACTGTCAGACAGTCTCATGAGACGCTGGAGGATCTCCAGTGTCTACCCTGGCCGTGTGCATCGCTGACTGCAAACTCTTGGGGACACAGATCAGGAGTCGGTGTTCCCCCCCCCCGCCCCCCCGTCTCCCTAGTCCCCTGGGGGCTCCTGGCCTGGCTGCAGAGGACAGGCTATGAGGGGCTGCATGTCCTGTGTGGTCAGACCCTCCCTGGTCTGCCCCGGGCCCCGCCCACCTTTAGGTCCAGGTGTGCTATCCTGCAGTTGTGAAGGTATCGCACGGCTTCCAGAACCTCCCCCAGGTGCGCTCTGATCTTCCCTTCGGTGAGGCTTCCCCATCGCACCACGCAGTCCAGGAGGCGGCCCTGGTCAGCCCTGCAGAGATGGGAATGAGCACTTCACTGTACAGACCTGTTCGGGCCACCAGGAAATAAACATATAGGACTTGTCCCCATCGTGAATGTTTTGTTGGCATTTCAGGATTGTGTTAACACATCTACTGGGAGGCAGAGGAGATAAGGAGACTTCCGTGCAGCTCTGCTGTGCAGATGCAAGGGGGGAACGTGGCATCGCTATCGCAGGGGGACCGGCTGGCAGAGAGGTGCAGTCAGGGTCCAAACCCTGCCCCTGAGGTGGCGGGGCCGAACCACCGGGCCGTGCCAGGCCACAGCAGACACTCTGCAGGTATCTGCTGAAGAAGGTAGATACTCGCCCCACCTCCCAGAGCCTCAGCTTCCTCATCTGCAAAACGGGCCACGGGAAGACAATGTGAGTAAAGAGCCAGACGATAAGGCAACGCAGGAAGGAAGCGCTTAACGCTGGACTCAGAAGTCTTCCCGCTCCGAAATCACTTTTAATGTTTAAAGAACACTCACACAGTACTGCCATGTGCCAGGGACTGAAGGCTTTCTATCAGTTCATTTAATCCTCATGACTCTCTGAGAAGGTGGCTTTGTTGTTCCCATTTTACAGAGGAAGAAACTGGGGCACACAGAAGGTATGAACCCTTCCCAAGGTCCCGCAGCTGTCAGGGGAGGAGCCGGATCCCGGTCTGGCCCTGGGCTCTGAACACGGCCTGTGCTGCCCTCTGCTTGCAAAGCAGAAAGTTCTAGGACTGTTCAGCCAGTGTGGTACTGGGGAGTAACCGGCGAGCGTTTGGCAGCAATCTGCTATGAAAATGAATCCTGTTAATAGTACGTTGCAGCCAAACCACATAGTTTCCCAGTGAGAAAAAATGACAGCTGAAAGCACTGAAATTGGAGTCCAGAAACAAAGGCCTTGTAGGAGATTTCTGACAGGGACTTCAGTGACAGTTCTAGTATAAAATCCACGGGAAGATGAGAGGTAGCTATTGGTTCTCAGTAGCCAGGAAGAAAGAAGCCCTCCCAGGTCCTGCTGCTCCCAGGCCAGGCCCGGGCTGGGACGCCGGCTCTCGTATAGTCATTTCAGCCCCACAACAACCCTCCAAAGTCGGTGTGATTTTAAGGGACACCCAAGTTGAGAAATGAGGGGAGAGCAGGACCTGGGACCAGGCTGCGTCCGACCAGGCCAGAGTCGGCCGCCTTCCTCTCTGCACACGCCTCAGCCTCACGGAGGCCCACCACGCCCGCCCCTGCCAGGCCGTGTGCTTTCTGTTCCAGGGAGAGGGACTGGAAATCACGCCCCACGTTCCCCCGAAACTGGGGCATCTCTGGATTGGCTGAGAACTGGCAGAGCCCTGGTTGAGGACGACACTTCTTTCTGCCACTAATCGGAAGGGTCTAAAACTGAGGTCTCCCATAGCACATATTTTTTAAGAGTTCTGTGAATTCTAAAAACCCAGTTTCTATTCTTCTTAGAGAACACACACAGACAAACCACTTGAAGTTGAGGCCGGGGGCTATAGTGAGGGGAGGAGGCCAGGCGAGTACGCACATTTCTAAGACCAGCACGTAACTGGTGGGGGTCTCAAAGGTGTCAAGGAGGCCGACGAGTAGGGGGTGCTGGAGGTTCTGCAGGATACCGAGCTCATGGGTGACCTGGTCGCGCTTCATCAACTTCTTGTTCACAAACTTAGTGGCCACTGCTCGTTTGGTTCCCTTCTGATCACATTTCTTAACGACAGAGAATCTGCCCCTGTAAAATACGTCAGGAAGACAGTTTTCAGAGTGGTATGTCAAGGAGAAAGACTCTGTCACCCTACATGGACTGGATGGGGGCCACCTCTGCTGTGTGGTGACCCAACCCCTGTCCCCAGGCCCTGCTCCCCGGCTGTGCAGGGGCCGTGGTGCCACAGTGGCCCCCAAACCCTGCCTTGCCCCTCAGCCATGTGACTCGCCAGCCTCCCTCTTGGGCAGCCCCGATCTCCTCCTATCCGTGTCTGGGCAGGCCTCGCGCTGGGGCTCCACTGGCCATTGGACGTGGCAGAAGGGACGGGGCGAGGCCTCCGTGCCGTGACCTCGCCAGGCAGCTCTGCCTCTGCTGTCCGCCCCGGGAGGAAGCCTGGAAGCGGCGCTTGGTGTTTCCCGGGCAGCCGGTCCCTCCTGTGCTTTCCGAAAGGGCTATTGCTGCGGTCATGGCCTCCGGCTGGCTTCGTGGAGAGCAAGGGTGTGGGCAGGACACGTGGTCCCGGGAGCTGCACCCAACGGACCACATGGGGCCCTTACTGCACCTCGACTGGGTCCAGGTGAAAAGCCCGTGGGCCTCCAGCCTGGGCCTGCTGCCACCACAGGGCGAGGGCTGGGGGCTGGCGGAGGGCCAGGTGTGTCTTGTACACCTGATGACCGTAAAGGAATCTGCAGCAGGGCAGGCCCGGGCCATGGGGGTCACAGGTGGCCACACTTTGCCACTTCTCCATTGAGAGGTGAGGTCCCCCCTTCCCTTCAGTCTGGGCTGCTGGACTGGTTCTGACCCAGGGAAGACAGGGGAGTGCGGCTGTGACTGTGGAGGTGGGGCCGCCAGGGTGCCACAGCTTTGGCTTCTGCTCTTCTGGATGCTTCTGCCACCGTGTGAGGAGGCCCAGGGCAAAAGCTGACGTGGAAAGAGGCCAGAGTCCGACAAGGCCTCTGATGTGGCGAGGCCCAGGTGTGCCAGGGGAGAGCAACGCAGTGACTGCCTGATGCCCCCGGCACTGGGAGGGGACACACGTCACCACCGTTAGAAGGGGGGGTCTGGTGTGACTCGCGACGCAGCAACACACAATGGGCAGACGTCTTGACAGGATCCAGGCAACCAGTGTGGCCGCAGGAATGTGGAGGACGTTGCCGGCTGAAGTTTCTCAGAGAGCTCTCCAAGAGGGACGAGGGAAAGCTGTCGTGCTTTGATGACCTGGCTCTTCCTGCTGCAAGGGACGCCATGCCCCGATGAGAGCACGCGCTGTGTGGCACCGGCAGTGCAGTCCCAGGAGCCGGGCGGCCCGAGGGCACTTGCCAAGCCACCACCAAGGCCCGGTCCCCTCGTGAAGAGAAACAGCTCTGCTGTGGCGAATCCACTCTCTGACCCTGACACTAATCACAACGTAATTCCTTTAAAATCTCTATGCACAACTCAAACCCAAAGCGAATTAAGTCCTATAGGAAGCATCTGAGTGGCTCTTTTCTGAGTTCCCCAAGGATGGCACAGAGCTGGTCCTATTCTAGACACGTGGGAGGAAGCAACTTCTTCCCATCTGTGGATGGCTTATGGCACCAGGCCTTACTTCTCTCCCGGAACCTGAGCCGGCAACGGCTTCTTTGTATCCCAGTGTTTAACATCTAAGGGCAGCTAGGGGTTACAACTCAGCCACAGAGCAGATAACGCCCCTCTGCTGGCGACACACACGCTCCGCGTGCGCCTCCGCGTGCCCTGCCTCACACCCGCTCTCCCGCAAGGGGCTCCGGGTCCGCGTCGTACCTGCCGAGCTCAGCCACTTCACTGTAGAAGGAGTCAAAGTTGTCTTTCCAGGTCACCATGATCCCATCGCTCCCTGGACCTGCAAGAAGAGCAGCACCTCCCTGAGCTTGTTTTATGTAGAGCTTCTTGGGCAAGAAGTCCACAGCCGCACAGTGTCCAAGACGGCAGCCACACGTGGCCAGCGCATTGGCCACCTGGCTTGCTGGAGCGAAGATGCACCGTGAGTGCAGAAGACACACTGTGCATTGGGGCTCAGAGTGAAAGAAACAATCTGAAAGCATCTCACTAATAATTTCAAATATTGATTCATGTTGAAAGTAAATACTTTGGATGCATTCAATTACATTAAACGGGCTAGTCAAATTACTTTTACCTTAAAAAATCTGCTTATTGGAACAATCTAAAATGTCGTATGTGGCTTTCATTTTATTTCAATCGGACATTGTTGCTACAGACAGTCCCCTCCTGTTTGCCCGGCCACATGGCCTCACAGCTGGGCTGGTCTCTCCTCAGCCACCAGAGCAAGAGTTCACTATATTTACTTAACATTCACAGGGCTTTAGATAGTTAATAAATCATAAATACACTTCAAACACAGAATTTTATTATGCTGGGGTCAACTGTAAGCCACTTGTTAGTGATGGACCTGGCATTATATATGCCCACAGGCACATAAAGCATCTCCCTACAGCGAAAAGAAGCATTAGGTGGTGAGTCCCAACTGAGTGGCTCAGCTGCCAGACAGCTCTGGGAAGCACGGCGGCCATCGCGCCCCCACACCCTCCCAGCTGCCGACATTCTTGACCCTACTATTCTGGGCGCCTATCCACTCAGGCCCTCCCCTGCCCTCTCCCCTGCCCTGTGGTCCAGCCCAGGTGAGGAATTTGCTCATTCCTATCCTTATCTGAGCTTCCTCCTCTCTGCCCAGGTTGTCACCAGGAATGCATTTCCTTAACGTCTAATCTGATCCATCTTTCAAGGCTCTGCGGGGTGACGTCACCTGCTCCACGGGCCTTCCCTGCGTCACTCACGGCTGGGAACCATGTCCTCCCGCAGCAGGCGGTCAGCACCCGCGGGTGCCATGTGCTGCCACCAGCACTGTTGCTAAGCCTGTGCTTGCAGATACTACGTGACGGAAGCTAATCCACGTCTGAGCTGCCTCTGCAGCTTCCTAGAGCCTGGAAGAGCGCCAAGTGCTCACTGCAGGACACACAGGGGGCAATGACTGCAGTCCGGTCCTTAAACCAAAGGACACATTCCACCGCGGTCTCTTCCGCTGATGCTAGCCCGTTCGCACTCCTTTCGAGTGCTTTAAAAGTGGCAAGGCCCCTCAGGAAGAGGCCCCTCGCGTGGCGCAGCTCACCTAGGACTCGCAGGCTGGCCGCCGACGAGGCTGAGCCCATGTCATTGACAGCGATGCACGTGTAGATGCCATCGTCTTCCGTGGTCACGCCAACGATCTTCAGAGCGGCCTCTCCCAAGTCACTGCAGTGCACGTGAGAACACGCCGGGCGTCAGAAAGGCTCAGCACCGGCCGTCCCTGCTGACCTCTCTCTTTCAGGGCCATGGGGGGGGGGAGGAGTGCCAGTTCTGATGGGGGCACACACCCAGGCAGGAAGTGTGCCCTCAGGGACACAGGAGGGTGCCAAGGTGGCCGATGAAATCCGTCACGTGAGCCACGGTGAAGGAGGAGTGTCCCGTCACCATACAACAAGACTGCACCCTGGCCAGCAAAACCCGTCCCAGGGTGGGCCTCCCTCACCTGTAGGAGATGCTGTAGTGACCATCGTTGTTCAAGGTGTTGTGTTCAGGGCCCTTCCAGGTGATGGAGGCTTTGGGGCGGCCACAGACTCGACATCTAAGAACAACGGTCTCCCCTGTCTCACACGCGACCTCACTCAACGGAATGACGAATTCTGGGGGAACTGTAAGAGAGAGGTTGGCGGAGGCCAGTCACCCTGGGCTCCCCCCCACCTCCCTGACTCATGCCTCACACACTAATGAGACCTAAGTTGCTGCCCAAGCCCAGAGCGCCACCAAAAACCCATTTCCAGAGGTTCCCTCGAGTGTTCTGAAACATGCCCACAGATCTACGATCTCCAAGACTAGAAGAGAGAGAACAGGACTCACCGTCATATATGTAGTTGGGATTGAGAAGCTGGAATGGAAAAGGCAAACAGGTATTAACCAAAAACATGAGCTGTTTTAAGGCATGTTGCTTTTGTTCCAGGGCTACATCTACCATCAACAGATTGGCAGAAACTGGCTTGCCTGGGTAGCAATCAAAATAGACCACCGTTTCACTGCACTTGAAAGGTGAATGTCACACTAACTTGGGTGAGTCTTTTCCTTCCTACCCACAAACACAAAAACACCGCTTAAACTCAGAGACATCAATTTTTCTCATCCTACGGGCTGAGTTCAGCTGGTCCCCGGACAACTTCCCAGTGCAGGATGGCCGATGCCCTGACCAAGGTGCTCGGAGTCCCTTTCAGGAGGTATTTTCTTCTTCTCCAGGCAAAACCCCCACAGCCTTCAGGCAATCTGATTATGGAGTATATTAAATTTGACTAAAGAGACCCCCAAGGGAATCCATTAAAGCCAAAGAACCTAGGGGTGTCCTCACAGCTGGCTGGTCTACACAGGACACCGAAGGAAGCCTGAGCCACGGCTGCTTTGCACTGTTCCTGAGAATCTAGCTTCTGTGCTTCACTCGGGGGCCTGTGTTCTTCATAAGCCACGTGTGCACCTGGCGAGTGTGTGGATGTCTACCTGTTCCCTTGCAGGACACATGCATCCCTGTGCCAGCCAGCACAGTCCCAGACCTTGCAGGGGCAGCTCACAGGGCAGGGCGGCGTGGCAGGAGGGAGACTTTACCCGAGCAGACCCAGGCCCCGGGGTCTCCGAGCACTCTGCCTCCCGGGCCCCTTCTGTTCACGGAGGCGAACGCAGGTTCCTGGAGCCTCCGAAACTCACCTTCACAGATACCTTGTTGCTGAGTCCCTCCCGTGACTTCCGATAACCGTTCTCTAACTTGCCTTCCCTTTTGCCGTCTTTATCTTTTTTCTCAGATTTTTTCCTTAAACGGAGTGCTGTGTGCCAAGATGTTGACTTCCTAGGTGGAAAAGAACACACTGTTAATGTCACGCCTTTCCAACATGCAGCAAATGGTACCTGGAAACTTTAGAGAAAGGCTGAATATTCAACTTATATGCACATAGGGTGGCTGAAAATCCTTCAGTAATGGTGGTCTCTGCTGAAGAAAACAGATGATTTCTGTGAATCATCTTAAACCAAATTTTAAAAACCAGAAAGGAGTCTGTGATGACTGATTTTATGTATCACCCTTACTGCATCACAGGATGCCCAGCTAGTTGGCCAAACATTATTCTGAGTGTTTCTGTGGGGATAAGTCTGGATTAGATTAATATTTTAATTGGAAAAGTAAAGCAGATACCCTTCCTAACGTGGGTGGCCCTCGTACAATCAGCTGAAGGCTTTAAGAGAACAGAGAGACTGGCCTCCCAAGCAGGAGGGAATGCTACAGCAGACGGTCTTCAGACTTCAGCTGCACCATCGGCTCTCCTGGGTCTCCAGCCTGCTGGCCGTGCTGCGGATGCGGACTTGCCAGCTTCCGTAACTATCTGAGCCAATCCCTTATAATAAACCTGCATCCATATAGGCATGCCCATCATGATAAAGTGAACACTGCAATAAACCAAGTAATGAAATAAGATAGTTTTCCAAAATGTTTAGATTTTTTGCCACATACCATATATAGACCTAGTTTTACCTTCCAAAGAAATATTCAAGTCATTTTGGTTTGACATGACATCATGTAGAAATTCTGCTTTCCTATAGAAATCTTCTTTCAATAGTTCTCATTGGTGATTCTTATGTTCTTCATCAAATTTAGCTATCTGTGTTTGCAGAGATAAGATTTTGGCTAACACCTGTCCCTGCAACAGCCAGTGCACTTTAGAATGATATGGCAAGTCTACACTGAATGCCTTATCCTTCAACTTTAGCACGCTGTGAAACAAAACTTACTGTGCTGTGTTGTATCTGTACAAAAATAGTTAACAATACTTACAACTTTTTGCAAAGTGTCACTTAAAATAGTAGCTTTAGCACAGAGATTTTGCTGATGTAAAATACAATGAAAAGAAATGAGAGCATTAGATCTGTTGATACTTTTTTAAAATCACTTCTAATTCTAGTTCAAGTCTTGCTATATCCACCACATCTGCAGTTACTTCTCCACTGAAGTCTTGAACCCCTCAAAGTCATCCGTAAGGATTACAATCAACTTCTTCCAAACTCCTGTTGATGTTGACATTTTGACCTCCTCCTATGAATCATAAATGTTCTTAATGGCATCTAGAATGAATTCTTTCCAGAATGTTTTCAATTTACTTTGCCCAGATCTATTATAGAAATCACCATGGATGGTAGTTGCAGCCTTACAAAATGTATTTCTTAAATGATAAGACTTGAAAGTTGAAATTACTCTTTGATCCATGGGCTACAGAATGGATGTTCTGTTGGCAGACATAACAACACATTAACCACCTTGTTCATCCTCCATCAGAGCTCTTGGGTAACCAGATGCACTGTCAATGAGCAGTAATATTTGAAAGGGAATCTTTTTCTCTGAGCAGTAGGTCTCAACAGTGGGTTTAAAATATTCAGTAAAATATGCTGTAAAACAGATGAGCTGTCAGCCAGGCTTTGTTGTTCTATTTCCAGAGGACAGGCAGAATAGATTTACATAATTTTTTCCTTAAGTGCCCCAGGATTTTCAGAATGGTTCATAGGCATTGGCTTAAAGTCATCAGGTGCATTAGTCTCTAACAAGAGCATCAGCTTATCCTCTGAAGCTTGAAGCCAGGCATTGACTTCTCTTTAGCTATGAAAGTCCTTGCTGACAACTTCTAACAGAAGGCTGTTTTACCCTACACTGAAAATCTGTTGTTTACTGTAGCCACCTTCATCAGTGACCTTAGCTACATCTTCTAGATAATTTTGGCAGCTTCTTCATCAGCACAGGCTACTTCACCTTACACTCTTATGTTATGAAGATGGCTTCTTTCCTTAAACCTCATGAACCAACCTCTGCTAGCTTCTAACTTTTTTTCTACAGCTTCCTCAGCTCTCTCAGCCTACGTAGAATTGAAGAGAGTTAGGGCCTTGCTCTGGATTAGGCTCTGGCATAAGGGAATGTTGTGGAGGCTTTGATCTTCTATCCAGACCACTCAAACTTTCTCCATGTCAGCAATAATGCTGTTTTGCTTTCTTATCATTCATGTGTTCACTGCAGTAGCACTTTTCATTTCCTTCAAGAACTTTTCCTTTGCATTCACAACTTGGCTATCTGGTGCAAGAGGCCTAGCTTTCAACCTACCTCAGCTTTTGACATGCCTTTCTTACTAAGCTTAATCATTTCTAGCTCTTGATGTAAAGTGAGAGACATGTGACTCTTCTTTTCCCTTGAACATTTGGAGGCCACTGTAGGGTTACTACTGGGCTTTACTTCAATATTGCTGCATCTCAGGGAAGGGAGTCAGAGGAGAAGAAGAGAGATGGGAATCAGCCAGTTGGTGGAGCAGTAAGAACACAGCCAACGTTTATTGATTAAGTTTGCTATCTTATATGGGCATGGTTCATGATGTACCCACAACAATTACAATAGTAACATTAAAGATCACTGATCACAGGTCACCATAACAGATATCATAATGATCAAAATGCTTGAAATATTACAAGAATTACCGAAGTGTGACACAGAGACAAGAAGTGTTGATGAGCTGTTGGAAAAATGGTGTTGACAGACTTGGTTGTTGCTGGATTGTTACAAACCGTCAATATATTAAAAAAATGCAATATCTACAAAGCACAATAAATTGAAACACAATAAAACAAGGTATGTCTGTTTCTATGTCTATATCTATACACCTTTTTGGTTCTACTTCTCTAGAGAATCTTGATGAATACAGAACATAAGCATTTTTAGGCTACAAAGTATAAAATAGGGTTTTTCTTCCTCAGATTTCTTTCTTTTAAACCACTTTCTTGAAGTATGACTGACATACAGAAAGCCGTCAAACGGGATTCCTAAGCAATGTACTAGGAAAAGCTATTTCTGCACAAAGGCAAACAGGACGAGGGACTGTCCTGGAGAAAGAGGGGCCCCCTGCAGCCTCCCGTGGGGCATGAACCTAGAGGCACAGGGAGCTGCTGAGATGCTGGCATAGCCCACGCTGCAAACCACACCAGGGTGCAGCCCCTGTGCAGAGGACACAACCGTGCCTGATCTTTCAGGGACATCAAAGTCACAAAGTCTTGTGACGTCTCCACCTCCAGAAACCATCTAGCGGGACCTCTACCACAACGGGCATTTCGGGGAGATTCAGGAAAGGGAAGAGTTTTACAAACCAGCACCCGAATTTGGTTTTTTTAAAAATAATGTTTAATGCAGCAAAACTGGTTTCAAGTTTCTTAAATGAATGAACCTTCTAGTATATAAGGCGTGATGGCAATAGCATCACACCAGTCTTCGCCTGTGGCTTACAGCATGAGTATCTTCATAGATGTCATCCCAACACACCCCTGAAAACGAGTTAGGGGTCCTCAGAAAGTCCTCATTCCCACTCAAGACCTCCCAGGACTAAATTATTGTTGTGCCCTATTTCGTGACCTCAGAAAGCTATTTGTTTCTAATTGCAGGTTATTAAAAGAACCTGCTAGGATTAGTCTGAGAGACGGGAGGACACCCATCTTCCCTTTGGGGTTGCACATTTTGCTCAGAGAGGAACCTGCGCTAACGGACACAGCTTCCCCTTCAATAAGCTCCACCCTCTCCAGGGTCTTTGTGCCTCATCCGTGCTGCGCCCTCCTCTGCGTGGCCACCCGCCGCGCCAGCTTTCCCATCAAGCACTCACTTGAGAGTCCCGTCGGGGTTCTCCACGATGACTGCACTGGTATGGCCCAGGACGAAGCCTGGAATCCAGCCCTCGGCTGCGGGGCACTGGTCAGTGGCGGCTCGGAACACCAGAAACATGTTCTGCTGATTGCTGGCCAGAATTTGAACGACCTCTCCTTGATAGACATTTATCTCATCCTCCTTCACTGCCGTGTAATCGTGTGTCACCAACATGGTGGAGATGTTGCTACTGCTGCTACTTTCACTCTGTAGAGGGAAAGATGAAAAAGAAAAGGCAGAGAGGAACTGACATGAGACCTGATCGTGTAAAGTCACGCATTGCTGTGCACCATGCACAGGGCAGGGCTCCCCAGACAGGCACGGAGACACTGAACTTTTCCTTCATACGAGCTAACTTCGTGCATCTTTTTCAAGAATTGAAAATAAGATTTCTCTATAAAGCAATTTAGGGACAATCTACAATATAGTCACCACAATAATGGCACTTTACTTTTGGGAGCTTGATATTATCAGTCCGATCTTCCTTGCATGCTCATGGGAACGCCTCAGTCCTCACGGTGACAGCATGTTGGGTTATCCCTAACCTAAACAAAGCAATGTCACTGTGAATATTGTGCTTTTGTTTTTTTTTTTTTTCAGCCATAAGAACTAGCCAGCAGTGCTTTTTTTTTAAAGGTATTAAATTTAAAAGCTGCAAAGAGTTGCTCTTTGTTTCACTGACAGATCAGATAATAGAGAAATCCCTACATCTTCCAGACAAAACGCTCATTGTAAATGCATGTTCCAGACTCATGCTCAGTTGCTGATGTATCTAATCATTTCTGCCTCTTTTCCCTTCAAAATGAAGATGGTGGAACCACTGAAAAGTAAAACCAACTACTATTACTCTCTTCTTAGGGACGGCTGCTGTCTCCATTGCTCATCCCTTGGTGGGTGGCCGTCTTGCGAGCTTGCATGATTCAAGTGTCCCCAAGGTACTGTTGCCATGGGAACATATCACACAGCATCACGGTACCGCTTGACTCAAACTTCAGGAGCAGGCCTGGTGTGGGGACGCTTATCCCACCCTGATTCTGCAGCCCTGGTGGCACCTGATCTCTGGTCAGTGACTGACATGCAGCAGGCACTCAATGTGTGTTGAGTAGCCCAGTTGATGAGGTAAGGCTACCACAGCAAAGCAGAGCTGGTTCCTTAAGGCCGTCCCTGGGCCCACAGGCTGAGTGGTGCTAGCTATAGAACAGAAGAAAACGCAAACAGCAGTCTCTGAGCCAGGCTCCCATTTAGTGAGTGACCTACTGTTCCAAAGGGAGGAGAAAAAAGCTGAGGCCCCTGCCAGCTCCTTGTCCAAGTCCCCTCTCTCAAACCAAGATGTGGAAATGGCATCTGGTGCCTTGTTCCCAGAAGCTTCCATAGGCGATGCTGTGGGATGTTCGTGGATTGTCAGGCCTCCAAAAGTGCTGGCTTCTGCTGGGCTCTCGGACACCCTGGGCAGATCCTGGGTCAGTGCAGACGCAACCCGTCGGTCAATCCCACCGTACTGCCACTCATCTCTGGTCTACTGGGTGCTGAAGGACATGCTGGAGCAGATTGAAGCCAGCCCACGGGACAAGTGAGAAGACCCTCCTGTTCTCCTCATGAGACCAAGTGCAGGAAAGCCAACAGGCCAGCCAGTGGGAATTCCAGGGGCCAGGGCTATGAATCTAGGCCTGCAGTAGATAATCTAAGACACAGCAGCATCGCTCAGCTCTTGCTTCTTGTCTCTGCAGAGGAGGGGTCTGTTTCCTTGTGGCCGTCCCCATGGAGGCTCACTTCTTGCCTGTGGTCCCTCGTGTGAAGGGTGCTACACATCAGGCTTCAGCCTGTGCACACTCATTTACACAATTTTATACCTTTAGCATGTACTCTGGTATGCTGACTTACATGGCAACAGCCAACAGTCCTGAGATCACAAAGCTGAATTTGCTAGAATATATAAACAAAAAACATCTCAAGCACATCTGCTTTTGATAATATATTATACCAGGTTACATCTCATAATTTGAGTATCTTACTGTAATAATAACAGCTTTTATTATAAGTATTTTTGGAACACTTCCTACATGCCAGGCTATATATTAGGCATTTGAAATCTATCTTGCTTAAGTCACACAATGGCCTTGCCAATAGGTGTGGTCATCAGCCCCTTGTCACGGGAGGTTAGTGACTTTGCATGGGACTATCTGGCCTGCGAGAGAAAGGCAGGGCCGCAGTGACTCCAATGTGAGTGCACTTTTATTGTTGCCCGATAAAACAGGCTGAAAGGCCAGATCACAGTACGGCTGGCAAAGTCACAGTCTGGGCAGATCCACACCTACTTGACTGCTACTTTCAGCAGAACTTTGCAGAAAGAGCCCATCTAAAGGGGGAAGAGGGACCTGCGCCGTGGGTTAGGCACAACCACTTGGCTGTAACCACAGACAGCTTGACAGACGTGGTTAAGGAGGAGAGAGGCTATGAAGAGCTGCCAGGGGACAGGAACGCACACAGCTAGGGGCCAGGCAGGGTGGCAGTTTCTTTGAACCAAATACTTAAGGGTTCTGGAGGACATATCCAAATCCCACTTTGGATCTCTGGCCGTCTTCCCGGCCCCTGGGGCATTTCTGTAAGGCACCGTGACTCATCTGGAACACTGTTTGGCAATGTCCCTTTCCAGGTTACTCATCAATTAAGAAAAAGTGGGAAGAGGAAGACAGAAAGCAAAGACAACTTTCCAGACCTAAAACTCTTAGACCATATGCTCCCTTTATCCTACACCTTTGTCTCAGAGGGAGCATGTTGGGGCCATGGCCACTGTTCACATCTACTCGTGAACGTTCAGAGAAGACCAGTGTTGGCTCCCGCATTGGTGCAGTTGATGTATTAATTCCGAAATGCAGACTCTGAGAACTCCACTTGTGCTGGATGGGAAAGTGTCCAGGTGAGGATGAGCTTGAGATGCTGACTGGTGGATTTTGTGAGGGTCACAGCTGTAAGGCCAGGTGACAGGTGCAGCTTGTCACAGTTGTCTGCATCGACTTCCCTGACTGAAACACATGTCTGACACTAGCCTGCCCACTAAGCACGTCCAGTCTAACAGGGAGGCTCTGCAGGATGCCTGGCAGACACTTATTTTTGATAATCATACTCAGCTGTAAATAAATGTATCATGATCCATTCTGTTAACGTCTTTCTCAATTAAATACAAAAAGTGAGTTTAACAAAATATGTTAACAAAAAACAGGAAGAAAGAATAAGACCAAGTAAACCAAATAAGATATTAATAGAAGTCCAGAGGAAAGAGAGAGACATGCAAAAGCCAGTTTTTTTTTTAATATATATAAAGAGAGACACAATCCCTTTTAAGTAAATGTATTTAAAAATTTATAAAGTGATCAAACATACGCTCATTAGAACAGTTCTATTCACTCATGCATGCCTTCAGGAAAGTGTTAGGGGCCAGGCCATGTGCCCTGTATGGAACAGGTGGGTAGACAGTGAGAAAGCCACCAAATGGGGGGAAAACCCATCATAGCAACCCTTCTGCTTGAGAAAATGAGTGAGTGCAGTGCAAAGTGGCTCTGGCCAGCCTAGAGGCCAGACGCCCCAGCCCATGCTGTGCCCTGTTGCCCACGCAGGGCGCTGCTCCTGCTCCTCCGAGGCTCCGCTGCACCGCCACCTGCAGGAGCTGCGAAGCCAGGTGCCCAGAGCAGTGTCTCTTCCAGAGCGAACCTCCGGGTGCAGCAAAATATTCCCACTGGATAGATTCCTTCCCCCCATTTTGTCAGCTTTGTTTGCTTTGAGTTGCAGTTGGAAGTTTCTTGAAGGATTTTTTTTTTCCAGCAAATGAGTCAAAAATGCCGCAAAGACAATATAAAGCATAAAAGAGCAAAACCAAGCGATGAGCAAAAAGCTTAAAGTGTACAGATTTCAATTGAAGTAAGAGGTAGAGAACGGGAAAAGGCTCCTCCCCCCAAAACATGTGCGAGAGGAAGGCAGGAACCGAAAAGGAAGGTCCAGGGTATTTTGGTGGCTGGAAAACTGAAAGCTTTAAAGGTGCTGCATTCAGAAGGTTAACGATCTGCTTTCCCTCATCAAGGAGACACGGACAAAGCAAGGAGCGAGTTAGTAGAGCCGAGCGTCGCCGCGGCGGGAGGAGGCGATTACTGCTGGAGAGCCGAGTTAGTACGAGGACAGCGACGGCGACACAGGAGGCTTAGAAGAGCTGGCGGGGAGGCGGTGGGGCGCGCTTACCCCGTTGCTCTGGGTGGACTGCACGGACTGCTCGCTGGCCGACGAGCACGTGCTCATGCGGTCCGTGTCCTTGCCGGGGGCCGCGTGGCGGTGCGTCTGGCGCTGGAGGGAGTCGCTGTCCCCCGGGAAGGTGAAGGAGCCGGGCCGGCTGGCCGGGGAGGCAGGGATGGAGCTCCAGAAGGAGCCCCCCTTTTGCAGGGGGCTGCTGGGGGGAAAGGGCTCCTTGCCGAAAGGAGAAGGGAACGCGGTGGCCAGCGGAGAGTTCAGAGGCGAGACGGCCCCGGACCTGGGCTTCCCCAGGGGCAGGGAGCCCGGGCTCCCCCGCGCGTCCTTGGCGCTGCCCGCGTCCTGGCCGGCGCCCGCGGCCGACTTCCGGGGGCTGTCCATCACCTTCATCTTGGGGACCGGCTCGGCTCCGCGCTCGGGCCCTTCGGCGTCTCCGCTGGGGGGCGGCCTGCTGGGCTGGCTGAGGCCGGCCTCCAAGGCCAGGCTGCCGCCGGGGGGAGGCAGTGAGGGGCCAGGGGTGCACATACCTGACATCTTGTCTGCCTCTGCCTGGCTCGAGGCTGCAGAGGAGACCAGCACAGGGGGGTGGTGTCGGACAGGCTGGGGGATCCGGGAGGGCCTGCTCCTGCTCGAGCTGGGGCCGCCGCTGGTGCCACCACTGCTGGGGCCGCCTCCGTGGCCGCCTCCGCTGCTGGGGGCCCCGCCGCCGCCCCCGCCCCCACCGCCCCCGCTGCCGCCCCCGCTGTGGTTCCTCTGGTACTCGATCGGTGATGTCAAGGCTGTAAGACAAGCAAGACACAGCAGAGGAGGCTGGTCAGGGCACTGGGAAAAGCACACGGCAGGGCAAAGGGAAAGGGAACATGAGGCGATCTAAAGGAGCCCTGGGCTCAGATGTGCCATGGGCTGGTCACAGGGTAAGTCATTGAGACTGCCTGCGGTCACCAGGACCTTCCGATGGCCCACACATCCGGAGGCCACAGACTGGCACCATCCATCAGTAAAGGAGTGAGCAATGCGCTCCTCTCCTGTTTACTAAGGAGTTAAAGTGACTCCATGGGGGCAGTGTAAGCAGTCCACAGACAGCAGGCAAGGGAGGGGCCTGAGGGTGTGACACTTTAGCTCCCCAAAGCAGGCCAGCAGAGCCTTTGCATCCCACAAAGAGAAAGGAGTTGCATCTACCCAGAGCATCCTAGCAAATGGCCCGTGTCAACAGGCTGACCAGAGCCATGCCAGGGCAGAGTCATGAGTCACCCAGGACTGCCTGCAGTACCAACTGGTTCCCGCTGTGGGAGAGGTTTGTGAGGCTTTCTCCAAGACTTCATTAAACCAGAGAGTAGTTAGTCCAAGAAGAAACAGGGTGGGAGTTAAGTAACCCCTTGGCTACCATACTCTAAAACCACCTCTATAAAACCACCTCTCTTTTGTAGGTTAAATAAACCAGACAAGGGAAGTTAACACATTGACTGCCACAGAAGAAAAAAGTTTTCCTTGGGGCCACGGTGTTTTAATACAAAAACAGAATAAAACTTCAAAAACAAAATGATCCTCCAAATGTAATGAAACATTTGTTATTTTTTATTGTTTTCTGTGCATGAGTTATATGCAACTTGAAAAAGAGTTCCTGTGGCTCCCAAGATGAATAGATGTATGAGTTACATATGTTTCACAGGCCCTGGGCTCAAAACTAGCATGAGTTAAATACAACTCACATGGCAGTTAATGTGTTAAAGGAGCTCCACAAGGCCCCTTGCTGTCCCATCTCTGACTTTAGTGATTTAGCTTTCTCACATAATCTGGAGAAAAACACAGGAATCAGGTTAAATAAGATATAAGGAAACATTAACATAAATTATTAAAGTTTACATTCTTTGAGAAATACCATAATCAGATACCCACTGCCCGACCCCAGCAGTGGGCATGTGTGGGAAAGTACCCTGTAGCCAAAGGCAGTCTACAATCTGTGCTGCCTTGGCCTCTCACAGCAGTACGGGGAGAGCCAGAAAGAGAAGGACGTGTCCAGAGCTCCCACCCCATTCATTTGGGCCTCCTTTAATCCTCTGGAACAGGTATGACCAGAGGCCCCCCGACCTTTTTGGCACCAGGGACCAGTTTCACAGAAGACAAATTTTCCATGGAGAGTGGAGCTTGGGCAGTCATGCCAATGATGAGGAATGGCTGTAAACACAGATGAAGCTTGAAGCTTTGCTGGCTCACCCGCCCCTCACCTCCTGCTGTGTGCCCCAACCCTCCTTCCTAAGTTGCACAGAAGACAGTTTTTTCACAGATTTGGGGAGGGTGGTAGGTAGGCAGGGAGCGGAGCTCTGTGGCCTGGCCCCTGACATGCCAGACCTGTATGGGGGTTGGGGATGGCAGAGTATGATTTTTGACAAGGCTGAGTGCCAAGTAAACGGTAGTATCATGGCCTCATCATGCTTGCAGTTTGGAGGCAATTCGTTTTATTTTAAAGACAATGGTAAAAGTGTAGAGATGTCCTGATCCCAAGCTACTGACTGGTATTTGATGCACCACTTAAGAACAACACATTTAAAGAGACCCACATTCTCTCTCAGCCACAGGAGCTCAACCCGCTACCCCCACAGGAACCATCCGCCTCCCGCCCCCATCCATCCAATTCTAACTGCAAACGTACACAGTTATCAGCTTGCAAGCTGGATAGAAACCTGGAGTTAACACCCAGGCAGCTGATTCTACTTGGGCCAGGAATGCCACGTGACTTTAGATTTTTCAATGAGTGCCTATGATCCTGGCTCTTGAATGTCATGCAAGGTGTGGAAGTGGTTTTCCTGTGACACAGAACATTACAACATCCTACTTGAGCATACAGATGCATAGTATGAAAAAAAGGGCACAGAAAAGACAGATTCAATGAACATAATACTTCTGACTCAATTCTCAAAGTTCTTCACTGATCACCAAATTAAAACCAGAGTAGATGCCAGCAGCCTCAAAGAAATGTCACACCTATTACGAGGCAACGTTAAGAGCAGTGTGGCTGCTCCCTTTGTGTTTGTGGCTCCTCTATAGTCACTCAAGTAATGGAAGTTGGGAAGGATAAAACACTCATTTTTTTAATGGAGAAGGGAGGTGTGGGTATGCAAGACACTCATGAATGTTTCCACCATCTTTGGCCACTTCGATCTGCCTTATGTCCTTGCACATTCTTCCTCCTAGGACAGGGCCCTTGTGCACATTGTGTGCAGGACACAATGGAACAGTGTAGTTGGGAGGGCCACACATGCTGAGAGCCACACGGCTGCTTCGAATCCTAAGTCTGTCACCAACAACTTGTGGGACTCTGGGCAAATTACTAACTCACTCTGTGCCTTGGCAAGTGGCAAGGTACACTACTTGCCACAGAGGGTGGCTGTGAAGATGAGATAATGCAATATACAGATGGCACCTGGTGAGCAGGCAGTGCTAAGTTTAGTCATCACTATCAATATGTGATGGGAGAGAGAAGAAAAGTAGAAATGTGTCCATTAGGGAAAGGAAAATACGTATCTAGTAATAGAACATACGTTACCATTTAAAAAATTGCGCTGGTTTTCTAAAATTTGGTTGATTTCATGGATCCATGTTTGCCGGACACTTGGACTGGATGAATGCAAAATGAAGGTCTCTACCACGTCACCCGTCCTTGATGTTAGAGCAAATTTACAGGGGTCATTTTCCACATTTTCCTCCAGGCAAAGGCAACTCACCTTAAAAAAAAATTTTAAGCATTATTCATAATAACTAAGCAGCCCAAGTGTCCATCTACTGATGAATAGATAAACAAAGTGTGGTGTATGCACACCATGGAATATTATTATTCATCCTTAATCAGGAAAGAAATTCCAACACTTGTACAACATGGATGAACCCTGAGGACATTATGCTCAGTGAAATATGCCAGTCACAAAAAAACAGACACTGTATGAGTCCACGGATGTGAGGTCCCTAGAATAGCCAAATTCTTAGATACAAAAAGTAGAACGGGGGTCACCAGGGGCTGTGGAGAGAGGTGACTGGGGAGTTAATATTAAATGGGTACAGAGTTTCAGTTTTGTATGATGGAGGGTTCTGGAAATGAATGATGGTGATGGCTCTATAACAATGTGAATGTATCTAATACCACTGAGCTAGACATACATTTAAATATGATCAAGAGTAAATTTTATGTTATATGTATTTTACCACAATAAAAAAATCAAAGCATACTTATCCCCATTGGCCAAGTTCAAAGTGAAGTTCATCCTACATCAAAACTGAACAATCACTTTTTGATAGAGCTTCCATTTTTATTTCCTCAGAAAACATTATCGTGAAGCCTTTCCAAGTGTCTTTTAACTCAGGTACATGGGGATTATCAGGAGTTTAAATAATAGTTTGAACTAACAGCTTGAACAATTAATGTGGGGCCAAAACCTCTCTATGATGACCCAGTGTTCATCCTTCATTCACGTTCCAGGGAATAAAATGACACCATTAAAAAATCCCAAATTTCAATAAAACCTGTGTTATAAAAGTATATGTAATATCATGATTAAAACACATCCAATAACTTTATAGAAGCAGCAGAATATGTAAGAAAAATGTGTAGAGAATTCCTATGGTTCTGGAGTGATTTTCTGTCAAGACACTCGCACAAAGAATGGGTGGGAAGTTCAGGTGATGGATGTAGTTCTGGTGATCGATGGACTGTAGTTCAGGTGATAGAGACAGTTTAGGAGATGGATGGATAGTTCAGGAGACGGATGCGGTTCAGGTGATTGATGGATGCGGTTCGGATAATGATTCAGTTCAGGTGATGCACATGGTGGGCCCGTGCCTGACACGGCCTCAGAGTGAGGGGTGGGCAGGTGGTGAGAGATGGAAGGCCCCCACCCAGCTTCATGCAGAGGCCTCTGAAGCCTTACTAGGTAGTGGTGGGCAGGAGACCCTCCAGCTGAAGGGCTGTGCCCGGGGACAGAGCCTCACTAGGCTCAGGTGCAGGGAGCTGCTGGAGACAGCCGACAGAAACCTAAGGGAGAAGCCAGATGGGACAGGGCGCAATGTCCTGCCTGTGTGACACAAGGCCTGCAGGGTGTGGAGGGTCTGACAGGTTTCCTGTCTCTCACTGGGGTGGTGGCTTAGGGCAAAAAGAACTTGGGAGGGGGAAGGACACGTGCATCTCCCAGGGATCTTCTGCTGGGACCTCAGTCTTTCCCCCGGCTTGCCTCCACCTCACCCTTGGTTTGTCCCCTTTGCAGATTTAGGGCCATTTGCAATTGTTTTCTTTGTCTGGTTATCTATCCCATCAGAGGGCAGACACCAGGGCAGAGAGGGCATCTGTCTGGGCCATTCCTGGAGCACTCATGCCTCGCACTGACAGCTCAGTACCTCCTTGTTGAATGGAGGAAAAGAAGATGACACTGAGTTAGCTATTGTCTCTGGCTACAGAGCAATACTCCAAATCTGTGCCCCCAATTTAAACAAGTTTTCCACAGTCATAGAGAAGGTAGTGCACGGACACTACCCAAGATGAGGTCTTCTTGTCATGGTGAAAATGAATGGCTGCAGTCACCCTGAGGTGTGTGCAAGACATCAGTCACTCGAGAACGTAGAAAGTGGAAAGAGGGATGAGGTGAATTAAAGGTTCTGAAATGGACTAGACCATTAAAAAGGAAAGAGTTTATCAGCATGACAGGTACATGCACTGGTACTTGAGAAAACACACACAAAACACATTACCTTGATACTGTTCTTAAACAGGAATCCTGGCATGGAGAAGCCCTTTTTTTTATCAAGTGGTTCACTGAATATGACGATCTGCTCAAAGAGGAAAACGCGCCTCTCTTTACATCGAGGCAGAAGCCCTGCATCTTGGTCTGTGACCAAGAATGTGTCCTGCAAGAGCAGTTTACCCTGGGCAACAATTTTACCCTGAAACAAGAAAAAGGGGACAAAGGAAAAGGAGAAAAAAACATTGCTTTCTAAGTTATCTGAAGGTCTCTTTTCTATACATTTCTTCCCACAGAATAATGTATTTTTCTTCTATTAATTTATAAAAATTTTTTTTCTTTTACTGTAATGAGTTCTTAGCCCCAAACAGAACAATTATCTAAATAAAATTCTTGTCAACCTTTATCTAAACCTCGGGCCTCAGTTACAATCAGAGACTGATGTTAGGATCTTAAAAATGTCTAGTTCACGCTAGAATAGCTGTTCTCAAGGTGTGGTCCCTGGACCAGTGGCAACAGCATTGCTCGGCAGGAACAAATCAGACGTGTATGAGAATCTGTCTCAGGAGCCCTGCAGGCGGTTCTATGGGTACTGCAGAGTGAGAACCCCAGCACTGAAATTTAAACTCTAGCAATGCAGTAGGCAAGAAAAGTAAAACCTCCCATCTCCTTACTCAATAGTTAAATTAAAAAAAGAGATTCTGGTTCTGGATTCACCTTTAGGACACATAACAGGTAACATGTAATACGAGTAGTCTGGGAACCGATACAAAAGTATGTTGGACTAACAAGGAAGACAGTGACCCTAAAGTCAAGCTCCCAGGTCCTACCATTCCGTAGCTACCATGGTTTTAACCCTTTGCACTCAGATGTTGAGTGTGGATAATGTCGAGTGGATAATGAGAAAAAAGCAAGCGAGTGCAAAGGGTTAAACACAGGGGAAAGCTCTTACAGCAGTAGAGGGCCCAAGAGACAAAGCACAGTCCTGCTTGTTTCTGCCACAAGGCTCTGAGCAGAAGAAGGTCCCCCAAAAGCAAATCAAATGCATCAAAAAAAAAAAAAAAAGTTGAAAGAAAGTATCAGTCAGGTTGAAGTAAAGTGAGATAAGGCAGAAAACCAAGCAAAAAGGATCAGCTCTCTACATGTGGACAGAAATAATCCAAGACAAAAGAAAGGGATGGAGGCAGAGGACCCTTTTCAAGAGCAAGAGCCACATTACATCAAATCCTTGCAGCCGCCCCACGTTCATCATGTCGTTGCAGCGCCTTGGTACTATGCACATGACTTCCACGGCTCTCTGCGGGCAGGAAGAGAGCAGAGTGAAAGTTCAAGCTCCTCTAGGGGAGATCTGACGTGCTAACCCAGTTCCTCTCCCTCCCACCCTCCAGCTTGCAGAGGGCAATCCAGACGGCTGCAGAGACCCCCTCCCAGGGCCAGGCCTCCCTGCTTGGAGACACTCGGGATTAGAAGAGCCCGGCAGGGATTTGGGTGGGCATAGCCAGCGATGCGAGTACCTCTAATTCTGATGTATCCAGGCTGGCCTTTTTGGAGTATTTGAGGAAGTCCTGCAAGGGAAAAGGAGAGGAGGACATGATGATGGTGATGAGGGCAACAGCTGCTAACCTTTTTGATTGCTCATGTTGTGCCAGGCACTGGGTTCAGTGCTTTAGTTCCATTTTCTCCCATTATTCTCTTAGTAACACAGTGAGGAGGTTTCCTCTTACGTGGATTTCAAGCTGCAGTACAGAAAGTCAGACCAGATCTATCTAACGGTTCCTGTTTAATCCGAGACAAGCTCTTGTCCCTCTTTATGTCCAGGAACTAAGTTTCATACATGAAGGAGCCTCCATACATTTAAGTAGTCACTTCTATCATGGAAAAATATGTGGCTCTGCCTTTAGTTGTGCTGAAGAATTTATATCAATCAAGGGCTACTCCTGAGCCAGTGGAGAAGAAGACAGAGGGAGTAAACATTTACTTTTATCCAAGGCTCCAAGAAGCTTAGAAAATATTTAAGGTTGACACAGCTGAAGAAAGATCCTTAGCATTCCAAGGTCTGCGGCAGGGAAAAAAAAATTCACTTTTACTGACACTTTGATTCAGAACTTGATGTAAATAAAAAATGGAGAAAATAGTATCAGGTGTTTTATTAAATGTTTAACAATCTACCTTGAAATATTTAAAATCAGAAGTAACAAGATTGCTTCATATTTCTTATACAAACGACTTCCTCACCTTCCTTCTCACTCTGAGTCCTGTCCTCTCACCAAACTAACTCTGACACTGGGGTTTGTACCTCTAATCTCCTCACCTTTAGCAACAGCTGATATTTCATAATTCTCTGCACTGGTTTGATCAACAGATCTGTGAGTTGCAACCTGTGGCCAAGACGCTGCTTTAAATCCTGTGGTTTTAAAGGAGAAAAAAAGATCTAAAGTGATGTTCATTAAAGGGCACTTTTTTAGTCCTTGTAATTATCAGAACAGCTTAACTACAACATCGTTAGTAAAAGTTGTAAGAAATAAAAGCCACTTTGCACTAAAACTAAGTAGTGCAAAAATTTCCAAGTTTTATACTTTAACCTTTCTAAGCTGTTTTTCCAAGTACTCATTCAAGTTCAAGGGGCTTTTTTGCAAATGCTTTCTTTTATTCATACAAACATATATATGATTTTTAGGCTAAAAGTTTAGATTAAGAATTATTCTGAATTTGTAATGAGACTTAACTTTAACACTGATAAACACCTTTAACAACTGCTCCAGTCTTCTGAATGCCAGGTGATACCACAATAGACTGAATTCATACCCATTTCTCTGATTTATAGGAAAGAAATATAGGTTCAGAGTTCTTATCACTCAGGCTAATTTTCTGAGAACTGCTTAAGTCTCCTGGGTAACCAATAATACTTTAATTTTTGGAAATCAGTTGGAAGAAAAGATTCAGCAATACTTTGTTTCTATCTTGGTCTTACCTCGAAAAAGGTATCAATGTATTCTGAGACAATGTGCTCAGACTTTGGTTTATTTTGACAATAAACTATGTACATGTGCAACCTTCTCTCCTAGGAATGAAAAAGGCAAACACATGGGTTAAAAGGATCAGAAGTTCAATTAGAATATAGAAGCACATGCATATTTTAGCACATTCATAAAGAGAATTCTCTTAAAACCAAGCTACTTTTCTAAATCTCCCGATCTCTTGGGAGCACATTCTAGATTCATGACATAGATCAGTCTTCTGTCTGTGGCTCCAAAAACAGTCTTTCATTATTGCTCTCTCACATATACCAAACCCTTCATTCACTTTAGTACCAAATACAGCAAACACCAGATATAGCAAAAGAATACACTTCTTAATAGTAAACGAAGAAGTGCATCCCTCCAAACTCTGGCTAGTCCTAGTAAGCCTGGCTGTTATTAACAGAGGAGGAAAAGCTCATTAATCTCAAATGCTAAAGGCAGGAGGAAAGAAGTAGATGATGAGCCTTCCCTTAAATCCAGCAATCCTCAAAGTGGGAGGTGCGCAGACCCCTGGGGGTCTCTGAGGCCTTTCAGTGGCTCCATCACTTCAGAACTATTTTCAAAACAACATTAAAATGTCATCTGCCCTTTTCATTGTGCTGACATCTGCAGGAATGTGCAAAACTAATGGCAGGTGAAACTGCTGGCACCTCAGCACATATTCTTCACTGCCACAAATTTGCAATAAAAAAAAATGCCAGTTTCATTTAAGAATGTCCTTGAAGTAATAAAAATTGTTCATCTTCTTAAAATTCAAACACTGAGTATATACGGTTTTAACATTCTTGTGACAAGATGGAAGTCCATGTAATATTTCTGCTGAATATATTGTCTCGAGTAGAGAAAAAGCAATTATGTGATCAAGTTATAGGCTGACCTAAATGCTTTTTTTTACAGCCACCATTTTTACTTGAAAGAACGATGGAAACAAACTATAATTATTTATGCTTTAGTATCCAGTAGACACTTTCTTAAATGAAATCAGCCTGGCATTTCAAGGCAGACAACTGGCAGTATTTGCTAATGATGAAAACTCCAGCTACCAAGCAAAAATTTAGAATCTTGGAAAACATGTATCTAACAGTCACTGTGAAATTGACAATACTTAAAGGCTTTTCTGAAAAGATGGGTGGTGATGGGAAAAAGTCTGATTTTTGGATATCGTGTAATGAAATGTGTCAACCTCTGGAAGTCAGAGGTTGCCTAAGTGAACTGATGTCTTCCGCTGACTGATGCATGATGGCCTAAGACTGTGCATGGCTGAAAGATCCTCCAAGTTTAAGACAGTTCAATGGATTTAACTGTCACAGTGGGGGCGAAGTTCACAGGTAGGTTTTCAGATTCCATGCTGTAACTAACCTTTAAGAAATTATCACTTGCCAGGCTGGGCGCAGTGGCTCATGCCTGTAATCCCAGCACTCTGGAAGGCTGAGGCGGGTGGATTGCTCAAGGTCAGGAGTTTGAAACCAGCCTGAGCAAGAGCGAGACCTCGTCTCTCTAAAAATAGAAAGAAATTAACTGGCCAACTAAAAATATATAGAAAAAATTAGCCGGGCATGGTGGCGCATGCCTGTAGTCCCAGCTACTGGGGAGCCTGAGGCAGAAGGATTGCTTGAGCCCAGGAGTTAGAGGTTGCTGTGAGCTAGGCTGACGTCATGGAACTCTAGCCTCTGCAACAAAGTGAGACTCTGTCTCAAAAAAAAAAAAAAAGAAATTATCACTTGTCAAGTTTTGGTATAGTATCTAAAATAAACTATCTAAGATTCTCTGAAAAGGCTATTAAAATATTTTGTCACTTTCTAACCATACATCTATGTGAGGATGGAATTTTTTTGGTATACTTTAACCAAAAAAAATCACAGTAGGTCGAATACAAAAGCAGATACAAAAATCCGCCTGCCTTTCATTAAGTCAGACATTAACAAGATATGCAAAAAACAAAAAAACTCTTGTCACTAATTTTTTTTAAAAAATGGTAATTTTTTTCCCTGGGAAAAAACCTAACTAAAAAACTTAAATGCTAATATATTTATTTTAGATATACACACATATTTGGCTATTACATTAAACACACTGCAGGTATATATACATCTCCACCAAATATTTGTCTGCCCATAGACACCCCCAAATATTATTGCTTTAGGCTTGGCCCTGGTCCCCTCTGATCAACATGTACTGTTTTTAGCCAAATAGATAGCTGGGGCCAAGTAACCAGGAAAGCAGATAACTGTCATATAAAAAAGAGATTTTAATTCTAACTCACTAACACTGTACAGTTTGATTTTATTCCTATATACTCTTGATTTTATTCCTATATACTCTCGTAAAGTATAAGCGAGTTCTTCCTTAATCTGACTGAAGATGACAACATCAGAACAAACTATAAACAATTTTATTCCTATATACTCTTTGATTTTATTCCTATATACTCTTATAAAGTATAAGCAAGTTCTTCCTTAATCTGACTGAAGATGACAACATCAGAACAAACTATAAACAATGCTATTGTACTTACGTGTTTAACGAAAAGGGATCCTAGTTTTTCCGGATCTTCAAGGCACTTCTCTAACTCTCCTAAAAAAAAGCTGATAGGAAAGGGAATATAAGAACCATCTCCAATTTGGCCTTTTAATTTTAGATTTAGGTTTACATTTTCAAAATAGTTTGCCTTGACATGAGCAGTTGGGAAGTGAAAAGTATATGCTTAACAAATATTAACATACGCAGAAAACACTTGATCAGGCTATAAAGCAAAAAGGGACACACAGTTTTGGAAGATAAGGCAGGATGAGCATCTATTGATTCACAATCTTCCTTGCTTTTGGACGACGAGCATTTTTGTCTCATTTTGTTCAAGGACACAAGTGCTAATATCCTGGGATGAATACAGAGTGACAAAATGTTTCAAAGCAACTGGTCATTTTTTATTTCTGAAAACTTGGTCTTTATGCCTCTGAGTTTCATATTCATTCTATGATGATCTTTAGAGGCTTAAATTGGACAATAGACATAAAATACTAAATATGTTACCTGTGCCAGATTTATGAAGTTTCCTCAAATATTATCAAAATCAACATCTAGGTTAGCCCCTTTAAGATTAAAATTAGGTACAATCACAGTAATAACGAAATAGCAGTAGGGCAAGTGCTCTTCATTTCTTTTGGGCTAAGTTGTCTTTAAGATATATATCTACCTTAATCACCACTTACATGTATTCGTATTTGGTATTTTATTAACCTGCAAACCTCCAGGTCAATTCGTGTTGTGTTAAGGGATTTCCTATCCTCCAGCTCTGCAGACACTGTGGCAGACAGCATCTCTGGATGCAATTTCTCTGACTATCCCAGGAACACTGTGTCATATCCCTCTTCCCTCCACAGCCTTAAAAACCAGCCTTGGAAGTAGAACACTAAATGGTACCAGTATCCCTTTTAAAATTGGATCACTATAAACTGGAGGGCTGTTTCTAAAGCTGACCAAACATTTACGTGTGAATCCAACTAAATTAGACATTGCAGGGGATATGAAAATAAAGACTGAACCTGGGTTAAAAGGTTTTACATTCTATTAGGGAAAATGAGTACATAAATAATAAAACATTACTTGATAAATCCCCCGGGAATTCCTCCTCCTGTCTGTACAGAATTTTATAGTTTAAAGAGCATATTCCCATCTGCTGTCTGCAGGGGGGAACATTTCTGCCTGGAATGACCAGGCCTAACGGAGAAGTCAGCACTGAGCTGCAATTCTGATCAGAAGCACTTATTGAGGCTTACTGTATGCAGACATTGTTCTAAGTGCTTTTACAAGTATTAACTCAGTCATTCTTCCCAACAACCCCATGAGGTGGGTAATGTTATGATGCAGGTGGGCAGACAAGGAATGGAGGTCACAGGGGTGAGGCAAATGGCCCAAGGTCAGGACCAGCACGTGGAAGACTCTTCCCTGTGCATTGACATGCTACTACAAAACTTTTCAGTACATCAATATTTCCTTTGCACCGGCTCCCTCCAGGAGGCCACACAAGTAATAAAAAGGAAAAGAATAAATCTCCTTTACCACGGGCCTGGCCTGGCACGATTTAGCACATGCTGAGGCTTTGCACACCACCCAGCATGACATGTGTTTACGTACTCTCTGTGCCAGTCATAAATCTGATGGATGTTGCCAAACACAATCTTGTCTTTTCCTTTCATGTCATCAGGAACTCCATCTTCTTTCATAAGTGCCATGTAGCCCTACAATTGAATGTTTAAAATTAAGTTTACTTCATGAAATGTGTTTGAGTCAAGTAATGGCTTATTGGTTAATAGTCACAAAGGCCTTTAAAACAGACACACACACTTTCTTGTAACCAATGCTTTATTTAAAAACCAACAAGAAACCCTATATGAAAAGTATGCTTAACTAGCACTTAAAATACACCGTTACATTCATTGGCTGTCATTTTCTCTCCCTGAACTGTTTAGCATTCACAGATCAAAACTCTTTTAAGAAACTAACATTTAAATAAATGTAAATGGTTTCATTACAATAAATAATCTTATCAGCTTGCAAATAGTAAATATTAATATTTGGTCAGAATCACATTTCTTCTGTTTTCAGCATGTATCTCATATAAACAGAAAGATTTCCTTTTCTGTTTGGATTATTATTAGTTTTATTACTTTTGAGACCGGGTCTTGCTCTGTTGCCTGGACACAGCGCAGTAGCATGATCATAGCTCACTGCAGCCTCAAACTCTTGGGCTCAAGGGATCCTCCCACCTCAGCCTCCTATGGAGCTAGGACTATGTAAACTGTTAAATAGGGATTTAATCATATTCTCCTTATACACTGATTTTTTGACAAAAGTTGATTAAGTATGTTGCTAAAATGTGGTTTAAAACTTCTATTTAATTCAGCCTATACAAGAACCTCTTAAGTATTCAGGGTACTTATTCAGGGTTCTTACTTAAGAACCTCTTAAGTATTCAGGGTACAATTTTTAACTCAGATGTTTAAAGCTTTGGATTTGATCACATACTTGATTTGTCTACAATAATTGTAGACAAATCAAGTATGTTACATCTTTTATGTTACCCAACTAACTGTAATAGCTGTGACTTTTAATAGGATATGCACTCAAAAAGTATTTTCCTATATATATTTGCAAAGCTGAAGGAATAAATGATGAAATTTATATTATAAAAATAGCTTTTTGATGAGTTGAGTTCATAAATATGACTGTGTCTTAAATTTATTGGCAGGGATTAGCCTAGAAACAGCTCTTCATCCTGTACAAAAGGTAGTAGTTATCCTATGGCTGCACAGTGCCTAGCAACTTCTGGTCAGTGAAAACTGAAAAAAACTGACCAGTGGCGACACATTCTGTGCAAAACTTTAAGTACATTACTTGGTATAGCCATAGGCCAAGCCCTGAACTTGGGCGGATTCAGGATGGAAGTGAATCCACAGCTGAGCTATGCTGAATTCTTTCAACCAATATGTTTTCATTTCTGTGATACCCACTCTGTGAAAGAAAGGTAAGACTCCCATCTAATAAACAACTGGATATATTTGTTTACAAACTTAATTGTTAAAAAAAAGATTATATCAAGATGCAGTACTATGCCAAAAAGCAGCATTTACTACTGATACAGATGATTAATTGGCTAACTTTTATATTTCAGAAATACTTTGTTGGTTTTCTTTTTTTTTTTCAAAAATGTTTATAAAGCTTTTGAGAGAGAATCAGTGTTAAAATCTCTAAAATGATAGCTCTTTGGACAACTCTTAGGGCTAATACTAGGTTATTAAACCTCTGAAAATACACACCTCAACCACATAGCCAAGGTCCCGCACATAGTCACGCTCTGTCTCCACTAATTCTTGCAAAACATAGCTGAAAAGAGAGAGAAAAAAATAGTGTTTATAATCCAAACTCTTTGTTGTCTAAATGAATTCTTTTGCACCTTTGCTCCTGTCAGGATAGACTCTTGGGACTGAACAGTAATATATCAAATTTGTACAACTGGGTCTTAAATTTTTGAGTGTCCCAAATCACTTACAGGTTTAAGTGGGTGACCCATGAGAGCTCCGGAGGTCAAGAGACACTTAGGCACAGGGGCATAGTGCAATCAGGGTGAATTCACCCTATGGGATTCTGATCGCACATACGGACAGGAAAGAGAAGCTTAGATGTGACTTGTTTATAAAGCCATGACTTTAAAGGAAGCAGCTTTAAAAAAAAAAAGATTAAGTCATTTAAAGCTTTATTGGACATATAAGAACAATTTTTAACTCAGATGTTTAAAGCTTTGGATTTGATCACATCACTTGTAAGTGTTTCTGTTTGTAAGGTTTAGTAACTGTTTCAAGCCACTTAGATAATAGAAGATAATCACTTTATCAGTATAGCAAACAACCTCAACTGGCTGGAAAAGGTTCACTCATTTGTTGTTCATTCATTCATTTGACCAACATCATCCTGGCGCCTTTTGCGAGGGAATCAGTATTATTATGTGCCCAGCAGCTGAGGCACACACACTGCATAAAACCAAGTCTCTGCCTTCATGCAGCTTACAGTTTATCCTATTCTGCAAAGGCAACTTTAAACCTTTTGTAGCATTTTTCAGGACTCTTACCACGAGCTGCTTTACTAGAATTGAGAAACACTACCACTAAGGTATACTCAAAATATATTTAAGTTTTGGAGACAGGTTCTAATTTTATGTTACCTTCTTTTTTCTTTCACGACTACATATACAATAAAAAGTGTAGGAGTTCCTCACTGTAAGTGGCAGAAGGTATCTTTGTCTAGATCATTCTTATAAAGTATAATATAAGAATAAGACAACAGAAACTGCAGCTGTAGCTTACTCCACCCCTCTGAGGTTCTGAGTTCTCTACACACACACGTACAAGTACTCAACCAGAGACCCTGGAGCTCCCACTGCACTAATTCAGAGATGAATGCCAGTCACGTTTCTGAAGGTGACAAAGACAGGAGGGAAGCCAGAGAACAATGAGAATGAGAATACTTCTGTCTTACTGCCTTCTCTTCAAGGAGCTGGACTTCCTTTCTTCCATCTCATCAATGGGCGAGGAGGAAGAGAGAAGGGAGTTGTCCGAGGGGTTGAAGGAAGGGCTGCTGCTGTCTCCCTGGTCCACAAGGAGTGAGCTTGGTCGATCCTCCAGGGCCTGGAAGAGATTTAGATAATTGGCAATGTTTACTGCCTACAGTGCATGACAGCTTGAAATTAGGATAAAGAATTCTAAGTTAGAAGATGTGTTTGTAAAATTATAAAATCTTTATGTTTGCGAAATTACATAGTATTTACAATACAAAAAACCCTACTATTAATAAAAAAATGGAGTCAGAGGAGTTGGGTAAAAGGGGAAAGTTAGAATGAGAAGGACAGTGAATTTATATACATATCCTCTTCCTTGTTGCCACATAATTAGAAATGATACACTTGCTTACATCAGAGTGCTGTATTCATTTTTGGACATATCACGTATTTCAAATCTAGCAATTTTCTTCTTGGTTATATTCCTGCCAAATGAAAGTATGAGTAGTTCAGAAGTGTGTGGATCAGGCCAGTGTGGCCCCTGGACATGGTAGCCACATTCCTCGTGGTTGGGCTATGTAGCAGTATCAGCAATCTATAGTTTAAACAAATTTGGTTTGCTCTTGATTGTCCATGAAGCCTTGACTCATACTTAACTGTACATAGATCACCCAGCTAAAATTAATCTCTATCTCACAGCTTCCATTCTATTCCTTCTCTATAGGAAGTAGTAATCATGCTGGTCTCTACTACTTCTCCAGAACTCTCCCTCCCCCACTGGACTTTAGCTTCTGCAGGTGATTATTTTTTATTGTTGTATCCCCTATAGAACCTCACACAAATTTTCACAAGAGTTCAATAAATCTATGAGTTGACTGTAGATAACGTCTCTCCCTGGATGAATGTGACAATGATTAGTAATTACTTCCTGATTTGACATATTAATTTTGTGGCTTTACCTGGATCCATAAAGTCCCTAGGAATTACAATTCTTTTAAAATTTCCAAACACCTAGCTGGATATATAGAAATGACTGAACTGGAAACATGTGATTAACTTATCTTTGGCTAAACAGCATAATTCAAAATGCAAGAACACTTAATACTTCACTTAACACCTAATATACATATTAATAAACTAAAATCTCTGATACTTTTGCTATTTTCTCCCTCTTACAGTAACAGACTGAATCTCACTTCATCATGAAGCAGCGCTTTGAGGACATAAAGTCTGTACACTCAATCTTGCTAAACAAAACCCACAGAGCTGTACAAAAACACACCAACTGCTACTCTCATTTTTGAGAAACAGGACATTTAGTTAAGGAGCACAGTTTGACCCATAAATTGTACTGCTTAGCTACTGACCTCTATCGGAAGCAAAGGTTTTGCTGTCAAGTAGCAGAGCATGATTCATGTGTCAGTTCAGGCACGTCTCTGACAGGAGCCCCAAGGGAGAGCAAGGGGCCCTGTCACCTGTCTGGACAGCTGAAACTCGTTAGATTGAATTCTGTTCACTTGACCAACGAGAAGACAGAAAGAAAAGAAAGGCTCCAGGAGAGAGCAAAGAGGTTAAGACATGGACTTCATCAGTGCCCTTGGGGACCTGTCTTCCATAACCAGTGGAACGTCTGTGCAGACCCGAAACAAAGGAGTCTCAGGCCCCTCTGGCTACCTGTGCTCCGATCTGACCTGCCCTGACCAAGAGGGGCCACCCAAGAGGCTGCAGATGTCCTGACAGGGAGGCAGTCATGGTTATATGTCCTTGTCACATTAATGACGCTCGATCCCTCCCTGTGGCCCAATTACCTCTTACACAAATGTGAGTGAAAAGGTTGTCACCAGCATAATGCCACCTCAAATGAAATAACTGGGACTTCACAGTTCTTTTTGTCCTTGTCAACTTTCTCTATTTCTTATATGAGGATAGGTCTGCAAAGATATTCTCCCTCTTCTGAAGTTAGTTCTGATAAATTTTATTTTCTTAGGAAACTGCCCATTTCATCCACGTTTCATTTCAGATTTAGTTTCAAAGAGTTGAACAAAGTAATGTTTTATGATTGTTTGAATTTCTTCAGTTTATTCCTCCCTTATAATTTCTTAATTCTTTGAATTTCTGCTATTTTCTTTAGGTTACCTAATGTCCATATTTATACAGAGAACAGATTTCTAGTTTTATTATTCTACTGTTTTTCAACTCATTAACTTCTGCTTTTATCTATGAATTCATTCCTTTTGTTTTTATTTGGCTTTTCTAACCTCTTGTATTAGATGCCATTTAATTTAATTTCATTCTTTCTTGTATATTTTTTTATATTTTTATCAGTGAAGAGAAGAAAACCCCAAAGTCAAGTTGAAACAGTTACTGGGGTGGTAGGCTACTACTATGCTATTACCAAGATGTAGGAAAAATGCACAATGTTTAAAATAACTGCGTTAACAGCTGAATACCTTCTCTCCTCTCCTCCCCAACCAAATAAATTAATATGTAGCTTCTGATGGATAAACAATGCAATATTCAAGTCTAGTTCTGAAGGCATGACAGCCTCAGAAATCTCCCCCAAGAAAACGAACATGGATGACTAAGGGTCCACAGCACGGTCACAGGCAGCAGGAGAGGTTGAAGGATATTAAAATGATTCACTGGAATTTTTACTGACAAAAAGTAGTTCCCATTTGACATCAGAGGATTAGTGACAGCAAATCAATGCAGAGTTATGTTTCCCTTGAACCAGAAAAAGAAGGCAGAGTTCAGATTACATCCCACGGCAGAATGAAGAAGAGGTGACTCTGTCACATAAAGTACAAATGTGGTCTTCCCAGGGAGGAGACAGGCATCAGTGAATGCCCATGTCCACGGAACCTTCCCAGGAGCTCCACCAACAGCATCCCATGTGCAGCTCAAAGACCCGGCTCAGAGAGGCTGAGCACGTGCTGGTGGAGATCCACTGTGAGCAGGAGGTTGTGAACCCAAGTCCATCCCACCCCCAAACTCTGCCCTTCTCACTGTGCCAATGGTGTTATGTCCTTCCACTTAAGGAGAGACATCAATGTGCAGAAATAACTTAGTTTCAACTGAGTAAATTGAGAAAGTTTAATTCCTCAGAATTGAGAAAGGAGAACAAACAGTAAGAGCTGGAAGGGACCACGCCACAGGCCAATACTCCATTTGGAAGTCCACTCGAATTAACTACAAATCAATCAGAGACCACATAAAACAGAATGCAGCTTAAATACTTGCAGAATAATGACAAACAGGCTGACAAAGTGTTGCTTCATAGCATTCCCTGGGAAACCATTTCAATTATTAGACGAGAATGATTTTAATGATCATCTAACTAATGTATATAAATGGCTTTTTAAAAAATGTTTAAGGATGCTTAAAAACTCACTGCATACATTTTAAGTACCCCTTGTTTCAACCATTTAAACAACTTATTTCTTAAAGAGACACCAAGCATGTGGTTGTAATTCAATTCATATTGGTGTGATTCCAAATTCTTGACTAGTGGAGTCAGAATTTATGAATTAGCTACCAAGTCCTAGCAACCTTCCTGTCTAACTTCAAAGCTCATTTTGTCTTTTCCAGAACACAGTGTGACTGCCCAGGGAGAAATTCTTAGCTATGGCAGGGTAACATATCAGTCTGAATATTTTCTTTATATAATTCACATTTGATCCAGTCAACTAGCTTCATTAGAGGCTATTTAGAGGTAGAAGAATTAGGAATGATATATCTGGTACCTAGTTAATACGCAAATGCAAAAGGTAAAAACACATAACTTTAAAGAAATATACTCTTTGATCTAGCAATACCAAATGCTGGAAATCCACCCTACAAATATAACCACAAATATGTAATGAACATGATGTTTATAATAGTGAAAAACTGGGAACAACTTTAATGTAGTAGGAATTTATTTAAATAAATTATAGTATAATGTTTCTGACCCTTAGTAGTTAGTCAAATTTTTAAATGTTTTGTGTGTCTCAGTTTCCTGATCTTTAAAATGGGACAGTAATGCATGCTTACCTCATAAGGTTGCTGTGGGGGAATATATTTAAATTAATATACGCTCACACTTAGAATAGCACCTGGTTTAGATTAAGCTCTCAATGGTATTATCAAAGAATGCATATAATGGAATATTAGAGTTATTAAAGGGAAAGAGGTAATATGTACGTATTGACATCAGAAGATCCTCAAGACATATTAAGTCTTAGAATCTTAAAAATTGAATAAATCCATTTTAAAAGAAAAGCATGCACTCATGCACATGTCGCGGATACACCTGCACCAGCAAGGAAAACGTCCGGAGGAAACACGTCCAACTGCTCACAGTGGCTGCCGCTGGAGAACGGATGGGCAGGAGAGGCTGAGGGCTTTTACTTTGGGAGGGGTGGCTTTTAAAAGATGTTAAATATCTTTACGAGGTAGTAGAATTTGCTAGTATAAAAAGTTGTTACCATTAGTGGTTTGTCAGTGGTTTTTCCATTTCATAGTTAAGAAAACTAGAGAAATAGAAATTAATCAATTTGAATCAGCAGCAGTGTGTGCCTGTCTAACTTCAAAGAATCAACATTTAATTTTGGGCTCTTATTAAATGAATCCACACTGACCAACAGGTAACACAGAGGTCATTAAGAGAATAAAGCCCTTATATATTAATGCAAACCCTTTTCTCATATGCTGTAAACCCAAATAAAAGATCTCAGAGATAACATAAGAAAACTGTGAACCTATCTGTGGGTCCCACTGCCCCAGGCATGTATTTAGACTGGAGTTGACATATATGTGCTGTGGATACAGTCAGTCACGTGTGCAGTCAGAGGCTGTCCTTGGCTCCTGCAAGGGAACATGTCCCGCATACCTGGAGCCCTCAGGCCAAGACAGACAGGCTATGCCAACACTGTGACAATATCTCCATCTGTGGAGGGGCAGGAGACCAAGGTCAGCCACACAGAGCAGTCAACTACGTGCTTGTGACTGAGCCCTAAAAAGAAACTCCCAACACCAAGGCTCGGGTGAGCTGTCAGGGTTGGCAATACTCTGTCCAAACTGCCACACCAACACTGCTGGCAGAAGTCAGTGCTTTCCTTCACCAGGGAAGCACAGCTAGGGGCTTGGACCCAGCACTCTCCTAGACCCCGCGCCATGCAGGGCTTCCCTTAGCTGATTGTAACCTATGCCCTTTCATAGTGATAAACCGCAGCTGTAGGAATAACGGCTTCTCTGAGTTCTGAGTGTCCTTCAAACAAATCAGTGAACCCGAGGGTGGTCGTGGGGACCCCCAAATTTGCTGTTGGTCAAAAGTGAGGGTGGTGTTGGGGACACCTAAGCTGTGCAAGAAGCCACAGCTACATTCTACAGCCCAGAGCAATGCACAAATAAGGGCAAATCCATCTGCAGGCAGCGAATCGGAGCAGCTTCCAAAGCTCGGTCTGTCTCTGGGAGGCCTTACCATCTTGCTTTTCACGAGTTCCTCAATCGCACTGACAAGCTCGGCTGCACTCGGCGTTTCAGAGCTGGTGGGGCGGACCAATAACCGGGAAGAGGCCTACGGAAGAAGTTAAGAAAAAAAGGAGGGGGAGGGGAAGGCCTCGCGTTAGTAACTGGACAGACAGTAAATTCCCCTGCAAGCTCGAGCTCTTTTTAAAAGTAATTCCAGACAAAAAGACCACAAGTTTGTCTTTGTTTGCATTTATTTAAAGTCATCCTTTTAAATTTACAATATTCTGACATGAAACATTAAATAAAACCTGTCTGGGATACATGTGGGAAGCAGACAAAGTCTGTTTTTAATCCGCAGTCATGTAACATCGTAATGTTTTTCAGAGGTGACTGGGCCCGGGAATATTCTAACTGTAACTTTCACAACTGCCGGCGAGGCTCTAGGCTAAGGAGAAAAAATACAGAATCTGATCTATGGAAGAATGAGAGGCTTAAGGTCTAACGAGTGAATCCTTGAATAATCAGGAAACAAAACAGGATACTAAAAATGGCTTTACTGTGTTTATGGGATTAAGAAAAGAAAGAAACGAGAAAGAGGCAAGGAGCAGGGTGCGGTGATCAGACAGGGGAGGAGGGGGACGAGCTCACCATTTTCTGTGCCATCCATTTCCCCATGATTAGTGCAGAGTACAGGAGAGCTGAGGCCTCACAACCTATCAGATGCCACTTATGGCTAGAATCGAGGGCGTAACAGGGCGGACAGTAAGGGAATCTGGGGGAGGGGCTGCTAGATTGGAGTTTCAGTAATTAGCAAACACGGGGTGTTTGCAGATTACTTGCACTGTTAATTAATCGGGAACTAGAGGGGCATAATATGAACCTTGCTTCATATTAAGGACAGCAGAGATGCATGCGGCACACGGCTACTGTCCCAGCCATGCGTGTCTCACAGCAGACAGATACAGGTTTATACATTTACAACGAGGCTTTTACATGTGTGGACCAAAATGTGCACTTTGCAAAACAAATGTTGGTTTGGTCTAATGAAATATGGAATATGGGGTGAAGAAAACAAAGAAAAAAATTCATATGGAAAGGTAAGGAAACTGAGCCAAAACAGACACAGAACACAAATCAACATAATGCTGCAGTGAAAGTTTACAAAAAGAGAAAACAGAACAAAACAAAAAATTAGTCACAGGATAATTTACTGTCTGGGAACATCACTACAGATTTCTGTAAATGAATACTGCTATCGATCATACTCAATGAGGTTACACAATAACCAATAAATGATTCTAGCAAACAGAGGAATATAGTGCCATTCACTGTTTACATGGAGAAAAGTACGCCCTGACTAGGTGAACACGTCAACAAGGCCCAGCCCCCTCATTGTTTGGATAAACAATCAGATTTAACAAATTTTAGTTTTCTGCATTTAAAAAGGGTATGGCTTAGAGCAGGGGTCCTCAAACTTTTTAAACAGGGGGCCAGTTCACCGTCCCTCAACTGTGGGCCCCGGACGAGTCGGCCGCTAAGCAGGACAGGCAGCGTCGGCAAAAACACCCAGAGGGTCAGATAAATGTGCTAGGTGGCCCCCATGTGGCCCTTTGAGGATGCCTGGCTTAGAGTATTACAACATAGCTTGGGAAATGTCAGTGAAACCACACAGCCCCCATGTCCTGGCTAGTCACTCTGTGCACACAAAACTCCAGGACCCAAACCCAAGCTAAGTTCTGCAGCTCATGGCCCGTGTTCCAAGACCCACGGCACCTAACAGGACCCAGGCTTCGTGTTGGAAAGGGAGGAGGACGTAGATTCCTACAAAGAAGAGGCTGTGCAAGTGTCTGCCTTGGGTTAAGACTAATGTATGACATGACCTGGCCTCACAGCTGCCAACCAGTGGCCATGGCAGATCCTGGGTCGTAAAATACAGGGTGATTAATCCAGCGAATGATTGCACTAGCACTGACAAGGGAGGAAGGGGAGGAAAAAGGGAAAGGATGGAGAAAAATTGTTGAAAACACATCTGTTTTATTCAGAAAACTTAAGTTACTGCCAAAAAAACCCCCAAAACAAAAGCCCAGCAATGACTTTGGAGCATGATTTTCAATACCTGACAGTTTTCAGGGGCACAATGGGCCAGTGGATGTGCAGCTGTATTTATCAGGTTTCCTTTTTGCTATTTTATTTTTAGGGTTCTACAATTGGGATGTACAAAAAATTTTAGATTATGTAAGAACTCAGGGAAAAAAATTAACTTGGCTTAATACCTCTGCACGTATGCAAAGAGGGGATTCATGCTTTCAACTGATTTCTACACTTTGACAACTATGCCCACACTCTAGCGTATTGATCCTACAAACTAATGCTTGCCCTGCTGGAAAAAGTAATTGGACAGGGACATCATCTCATCTTAAAAGAGAAACCTGTGTGCAAAAACACCTCACAGAGAGAACAAGATGGCCAACTGATCTTTTAGTGCTGTGTTCAGGTAGACTTCTCTGATGGCTCTCGGGGACTCTAGTCAACACATCGGGAGACTTTAAAATTACTTTACAAGTGGCAATTACTAAAGTATTAAAAATGCACTGAGCCACATGTGCATGCGAAACTGCATGTGCTGACCCTACCGCTCACTCTAAATGGCTTTGTTATGTACACTTTTGGGGTGCAACCAGGCTGACTCTGCCTGGAAAAGCATATCACTAGGGGGCCTTTTCCACATCTCTGAATCTCCTGTCTCTTCAGAGGAGGCTGGTGTGGAGCAGCACCCGAGAGGGCCCTGCCCCTCGCAGCGCAGTCGTGGCATCCCTCCCCCGCCCTGCCACGTCCAGCCTGGCCCGTGTGCCCCTTACCTTGTCATCCTGTGAGTCCGGCTGGAGAAGGCTGTGCTGCTGGATGGCCATGGGCGGGGGCAGGGGCACAGCGTCCGCCCCCTCCTCACCTTCCTCTTCCCCACAGCTCTGCATCCCCGAGGAGGAGGATTTGGAGAGGGTGCCGCTGCTGAGGCCTTCATTCCGGCCTCTCTGAAAGCAAATCAACATTTGCTGGTCATGTTCTAGGCTATGACCACCCAGGCCCATTCACCGGCACTGCGTCCTAAAGGGTCAACTGGAAAAGTGTAATGAGGACAGAGAGACAGATAACAGGAATCCGGAAACAGCCCTTCTTGACTTCGATGGCAACTTGTCACTTCCTTCCTGCAACCCAGCTACCTTGCTCATCAACTCGGACAAGGCACGGGCCACTGACTCTGTTGTTTTAAGGGACTGTCAACATTATCCGTTAGGCTCTGAATGCATCTCATTTTCAAGAAGCCAATAAGAAAGGGTTCAAAAATTTGAGCTACGACCCTCATGTTGATTCAGCCCGCCAATTGCATTTTGGGTACCTTGAAATAGGAAAATTCACTGAAATAGTAAGGGCATAAAAAAATATAACCCAAGATGCATTTTAAGAATCCAAATTACGTATTCTTTCCCTCTGTTCTTGCTTTTAGAAAAGGTGTTTTAGTTTTACTAAGAGGACACAGATTTATAAAGCAGATACATAAGTACATAATGGCCCACATACTCCAGTGAGAAAGCTCATGGTCAAAATATGCCCAGGAAAAAACCCAGCAGAAAGCACAAATCTGCCAAATAAATAAAATGGTATGAATCTGAACCTGTCTCTGTCTGTCTTTTCTTTCTTGAGCCTGTGTGGGATTTGGGGGTGGAGGGCTCCAAGGTAATGACTTGGAGGGCCCCTCACTGACACACCACCTCTGGCGTCACACAGGAATTCTGTTTCTTGCAGTAAATTTAAAGCGCACCCACCTAACCAAAAGGAAATTAAAAAAATTTCTAGCTGACCTACATCCATTTATCTTTGGTGGCAAGGGAATAACCTGGTATTTACTACTGGGTCAGCGGAATAAATCAATTGGGTATTTTCTACTCAGGACAAGCTGTAACTATAAATATTGGGAAAAATAATTAGAGAATGCAAACATTCCACAAGTCCTTCCAAGTTTCAAACCTGAGCTTTTCCTGCAAAATGCTGCCATGGTCCTAAGTGCTGACCTCAGGGACTACTCAGATCTTCTGCGGCTCCCTCCGGTGCCTCCCGGCTTTGCCTCCTGGTGGAACGGGGAGGGGAGGGCAGAGGGGCTGTTGCGCCCACTTCCTCCTGGCCCGGGTAAAGGGGTGGGAGATGGGGGGGTGGTGACTGAGCCTGGGGCACGAGCTCCTGGTGCTGACTTCTACCCTGCTACCAGGGAGGCAGCTGTTCCAATCCTCTTTCATGCTGCCCCCACTGAATCTAACAGCCTGCTAAAGCAGAGATGTTAATGGTAATGTCTGGGTAAGCACAGAAAACAACCAAATCAGTTTACTCATAAGACAAGCAACTACTCCGACAATTGCAAAAAACAACGGTGAAAAGAAACACGGGAAGGTGTCCAGCCTTCCGTGACTTCAGCAGCTGAGGCTGTCTCGCTGGCACGCTCACCTCTTCCACGGTCTCGTCCTGTGGGGTGGCCGCGCTGTCGTCTGAGTCCTTCTGCGAGCCGGCGTCTGCGCTCTTGCGGACCTCCCTGCTCTTCTTGTGCTTGTGTGCGAGCTTCTTCACGTGCCCGTCGGCCTTGCCGCTGCTGAGCCGCCGCACGGGGCTGGTGAGCCACTTGCGCAGGGTGTTGCCCGGCCGCTTGGGGCCTGGAGAGCTCTGGGCCCCGATCATGTGGGGCTGCAGGGAGGCCACGGAGGCGGGCGGGCTGGCGTCGTTGCTGGAAACGGACAGCGAGTCTGCAGGCGACAAGGAAGAGGGGGCTAGGTGACAGATGACATCAAAAAATGGTACAGGCTTGCCCTGGCGAGACTTTGTGACAAACAGCGCCCATCTGGGAGGTCCAGTTGGTGGGTCTATCAGAGGAGCCCCATGGCCTCTTGTTCCAGCCAGACCACACAAGGCACATGGGGCTTTGCTCGTAGTCGGGACAAAGTTATCTCTATTAACAAAAATAACACCACATTTAAAAAAGAAATGTGAGAGGAGAAGCTATCGTTAACCAAAATGCTCTTAAAAAAACCCACGATATCCAAATCAAGTTTCTCATTAGATCACAAAAATGAAATATAGCCAACCCTGGGTTGATGAGTTTTCAAGAGAAAAAACCCACAAAATGTAGGTAGCAGCGGACACTCAACAAATGCACGGAGCCACATGAGGTCTACTTTATAGCCTGATCACCAGTGTTGGTGCACGCTGCCTGGTCCCTGCTGAGCGCTGGCCTGGGGGCTCCACCACGGTGACAGGGAATAAAATGCTTCACTTCAGGAAACAGGATGATGAAGATGATGATCATTCACTGTGCTTGTCATTTTCTCAAGTCTTGTCTTTTGAAGTCTTAAAAATAATTAAAACTAATCTTTGAAAATATTATTTTGTACCGACACCTGCACTACCTGTATTTACCTCTGTGGCCCTGGAGCCCCTTCCCTGCTGCAGTTAAAACCCCTGAGATTATATGTAGAGTCAGCAGTGTTTTCCCACAAGTGTTCCCGACGCTGGGACTAGACGGCACATGCCCTTCTAATTACTGTCCCATTCTTCCCTTGGCCCAAGACACAGACTGGTGAAGACTATAATCTTCCATAAACATATGATGCAATTTAAGCAGAATCACTCATTCTTAAAAATCTAGACTTTTCTCAAAGGGAAACACTGGTTCAAAACCAATCAATATCTATTAAGGAGTAGTAACCATTTCTTCCCATATGTATATATGCATACACACAAATATGTGTGCATATACATTTCTTCATATGTTTATTTTAGTCATATAAAACATTTCCACGTCAGTCTCATTTTCCTTAGGTATGGTCTGGAAGAGGTGGGAGAGAATGAAATCATTAGGTTGAAACCATTCCTAGGGACTTTCTCAGGTGCTGACTTAAGGTAAAGGGTGAAAGAGGCAGACATAGTCTCTGGTCTCAGAACTCCTGCTACAGTGACAACAGGACAAAGGAGGGTTTGGATGATCCACACGCCAGATGATAAGGTATTCAACTAATATCTTGGGGGGGCGACAATGATTAGCAGGCCACTGCACTGGCTGCAGCAGGCAGAGGATTTCAGAGTCGTTTACTGCGGTGTGACTCAGAGGTGGGCCCTGGACTTCTCCCTGGACAGAGATGAAAAACACCCAGTTTCTTCACCCACAGGGCCCACCTCATAGTGTTTTCTGGATGACGTAATTACTGTATGCTACGGGCGAGGTGCAAACTGTTAGAGCTGAGAAGAAGGTGACACAGGAGGAGGAATCAGGGAAGGCGTTGTGAACGAGGCACTGCTGACGCCAGCCTATGAGTGAGCTGGGCCCAAACCACCGCGGACTGTGTCAGGAGCACGTCAGACCTGTGGGGGCACAGGTCTCACCTGTCGGGGACCCAACAGACTCCTAGGGACTCGCCCAGTGCCAGCATACAGACAGCAGGCACACATTAAGCACTGAACGCAGACATCAGAAACCAACAGTCTAAAGAAAAAGGGCAAGCTGAGTCACAGTCATTAATCTGACATACACTCACTCAGTCAAACAACTGCACAAGACAAAGAACTACGAGGGAGGGGGCCAGGTGGAGGTGAGAGCCATGAGGCGGGCTCACCAGGGAGCTCCGCTGCGCCTTGGGTGACGTGAAGGAGACAGGAGAAAGACCCAGGAGCTCACTTACTTTAACAAAACTAAGTCAAGTGCAGGTCTTAACATTCACAGGCAGAACATTTACACATCAGGAGTAACAGAGAACGCCACCTAAGCCAATAAACCAACTTCGTAGACCTTCCCGAGCCTAAAAGTAGAGAATGTGGGGGACTCGGCATGGGAGCAATGCAGCATATCAAATGAACCCCAAGTGATGCCTGCAGGCTTGCAGAGAAGGACGGCTGCTCTCGGAAGAGGGTGTGCAGCTCAGGCAGGGATGCAGGCAGCCCTGAAGCATCCAGACCTCCCTGTCGGTTAGCAGATGCAGCGGTCTCTGCACGCGTGACAGAATGAACTGCAGTCAATTACTAATGCTTCATGGCACCCAGCTGGCTTCATAAGGATGACTCTCAGGGCATTTCGGCCTTGTCTGGGAAAGGAGTTAGTTGTTGGAAAAACGGCTCAAAAAGAAAAAGAAATTAGATATGTCATTTCCCAGCTTCTCTCCATGGACTCAGCTGCACAGGATTTGGTCCTTTACACTTTGGGAAGCAGGTTCAAGAGAGATTTCCTGCCCACTGGCTGGTCGAGCATTAGAAATGTGGCATGGGCCAAACATCCGTGCTGGAGCCCCGAGGATCAGAGCCGCCCGAAGTGGGAGCTCATTGGTGCCACAGACGAAATGCAAAGGATTCTGTGACTCTGCTATTCTGAAGGGAATAGGCAATTTCTCCCTGAACTACTTATCAAATCACTGCAGGGACATTATTTCACTTTGCTGGAATATTCATGACTTAGAAAAATGCTAGCAGCCATCACAGACTTAGAAGGAAATTTTGTGGAATTTTTTATTTTACCTTGAAAAAAAATTTTGTTTCAGATGTCTGCAAACGTAGAGGGAAAATTATGACCCCTTCTCTTTCCACTTTGTTTTTAACAACGATGCTCCATTCCTCATGCTATTAGACTCTCTCTGAAAAAATAAGTTGTTTTCTTCTCACTACAGAAACTCCTTTCACCTAAGTCAGTGGATTGTAACAGCCCATGCATATGTGCCTTGCTGGGAGAGGGGGGGGAGCGACAGAATGCACACATCAGAATAAAAGAAAAGAATGCACACATCAGGAGTTTAAAAAGCTTAAAAATTATTTAAACTTAATGCCATCATTAACAGAATGAAATAAACTGCCTGCTATTATTTTTAGTTATCTGAAAAACAGACTTTTCTTGCTAGACCAACTGCTCTGCTGCAAATTTTGAATTATATCACATATGCTAATGTTTATCTCTAGTAGATGAAGGTTTCTAAAGTTACTGGGTACCAGGTAAGCGTGCATCCCACAATAAACATAGAGCTGCAGAATTCTGAGGTCTCTGTGGGAAGATCGTAAATTACTGGTTTGCACCCTGTTGCCTTTCCCCAGAAGAGGGCCTGATGGCTGTCTCAGTGGCTGTGAGCCCACTGCCCAGATAGCCACACTGGGGGATGCTCCCTTCCTCTCGGCATTTTGTCCTCACCTTTTTGTTCAGCCCAGTAACAAGGGTAATCCTCAAGAGGAGAGCTGATGGTCAGAGCCCTGTGTGACCAGTTTGTGACAGCATTTTCCTAGCTGGGTGAATGTGAGGTCAGGAAGCCGACCACGACCTTGGACTCCAGGCTTTGTGTGGGAGGGTGCCATGTCTTGTTTGTTTGCCACTATAGGCCCAGTTGCAAGCCGGTGGCCTCATGCACCCTTGGTGCTTAATAAGTGCATGTTGAATAAATAACCAACAAATGAGCAAATGAACCAGCTGCAGGCTATTCCCAGTTTCCCCTCTCCCAGGATAAGCATACTGACTGATAATTTAAGTCAACCACTTGAACAGTGATGTCCTGAGTTACTGGTACACCCTGATGATCAGTGTTGGGAGGAACTACTACAAGTCAAGTTCACAGTCAAGTTCAGAGTGTGTGCGCTATGTACTTCCAAGATGATAATTCAAAGCAGGTGAAGGCCATACCCTCGTAGTGACCCCCATCTCTCACCCGAATCACGCTTCGTTTTCTCACAATGCAGAGCCGGGCTGAGTGACCAGGAGCATCACCTGTCACGTGAGGTGCAGGGGCACAGAGAGGGCTCAGGACAGAACTGACCAGAGAAATACCATGAACGACCCCTTTGTTACTCCAGCGAGTTGTATTTGTTCCTGTTTCCCGTCCTCAGTTACCCGTCTCTTGCCTCCCCCCATCTTCTACCTTCCTGGAAGAAAAAGAGCCAGCTCTCAGTCTCGCTTTTCCCCCGTCACCAGCTCTTCTGTGCAAGAATGCCTCAGTTCCCACGAGGCCTGCTTTCCTCTTTCCAGCTTGGGGAAACCCACTGATCCAAGGTCCAGATGGACGATCAATTAAGAATGTCACAAAGAACAGTGGACGCGCCAGAGGGTCGGCGTGGGGCTGGTGCTCCCCTCCACAGCTGTGGCCCCGGCAAACACTGCGGCATCTGAGTCCCATTTCTCAGGGCTGTAGCAGGATTACGTGAGACAGTGGGAATGAATGAGCTTTATAAGCTATGAAGTCCTGCTCACAAATGTCGGAGGGCTGGGGCATCCAGGACTCCACGGCAATGCAGAACTGACTATGCTATATTCATATAAACTGAGTCCCCAGAAAACAGGAACAATCGGGCCTGTAATCGCATGCCTAGCATGGCGTCCAGGACACACTAAAAGTCATTTTTAGATGTGTGAGGAATGAGTGAAGCAACCTAGATGAATCACTTCCTTCTGTTTCTATTTTTAAAAACAACTTATTCCTCATTAAGAGGAAACACTCAACTTCAGCCTAAATAGATACCATCAGCACCTGACAGTCACTTAAAAGATGCTCAACTGTGCACATGAGAGAGCTGCTGGGATCTGCTCGAAGCCCCAAGAGAGACAATCAGTTAAAGTTGATCCCTTCTTATTTTGAGAGGGAAAACTCCTCACATACGTGGCTTCGTCGCTGAAGTCAGAGTTCACGCAAAGTCCACGCTAGATTCCTTTTTAAAAGAAAAAAGCTGAAGGGAAAGGGGCAAGCAAGCTCCGACCTTCGGCCCCACAGGAAGGAGCTCCACTGCGGGA